GCATGTATGCATGTATGCATGCATGGATGCATGGATGCATGGATGCATGTATGCATGTCTGCATGTATGCATGTATGCATGTATGCATGTATGCATGTATGCATGCATGCATGGATGCATGGATGTATGGATGTATGCATGTATGTATGCATGTATGTATGTATGTATGTATGTATGTATGTATGTATGTATGAATGATGCATGCATGATGTATGTATGTATGTATGTATGTATGTATGTATGTATGTATGTATGTATGTATGTATGTATGTATGTATGTATGTGTGTGTATGTATGTATGTATGCATGCATGCATGCATGCATGCATGCATGCATGTATGTTTGTATATACATACTAAATATAATTATACATATATATATATATATATATACACATATGTATGTATATATACATATATTATACATATATAATGTATATATATACATACTATACTTATATATACTGGTATGTGTGTTTCTTCCAACCTTTACCAACCATCACCAACGTTGCCCATACTCGGCGTCCCGGCGCGTTCCGGTGTTGGAAACCTGCCGCAGCAGAGGAAGGGCGTGGATATCAGCCTCCATATAGATAGATTCTATGCTATACATTGTATGTTATACATAAAACACAAATCAAATACCTTGTATATTATCATGTTATAAATATACACATGATGATCATATAATTTAAACTAAATATTTTTTTGATACGTATATGTCATATTTGTGTCATTGTGTTATATTATGCTAAATCAACTTACCAATAAACCATCAAATATTAGTAGTATAATGTAAGAACATATGATATTATGCAATGTAAAATAATAAAACACATTGTGAACACCAATGATATGTTTTGTAAAATGTAAAATAATGTGGTATGATATGAAATGATATGATATGATTACGTAACACAAACATAATATATGTTCGATAAACAAAGAATGCAACATACCTAAATATTGTAAAAAAAACACAATGCAACAAGACAAAATGTAATAATTATATTGCATGTATTATAGCTATAGCTATAAATATAAATGTAAGTATAAACATACATTTATATGCATATTTATCGATTTCAGATTTCAGTTGACATTTCGAGACAACCTCAAAATTGTCTGAATATGTCCCTATTCGAAACTAAACATAACCTAATTTAGATAATTAATTTGCATTCTAATCCGCTATACAATTACCTGTCAACCCTGATATAATCATAGAAAACACACGTTCCCACACAACTTCATGGATACCAACAATCGGAATCCTATCAACCACAACAAACAAAAACACGGCAGCCTTGCCCGGCCTGGAGTTGATCTGATATCCTACCAGCGCTTTTGCTCCGATACTGGTGGCGCAGAGCCGTGAAAGCACCTTGCGGCGCCGGGATATGGCCTGTTAAATGGGCCTTCAATGGGATGAAATACTTCTTGTAACATCCTGTAACGGACTGTTGGTGATCATGAAATATACTAAGCTACCTTTGAATCAGGGGACCCTATTAGCATGTTAGATTTTTTAGCCATTTCAGGTGAATATGTCAGAGTTTCATTCTAGTTCCATGATTCTTACCCTCTGGTAATTTAAAATATTTATTAACAATTGCCATTTATACTTGATTTAGTCAAAAATGCTGATATGCTATAGCTCTGTTAGTATACCAGAGGGTAGTAGAATCATTATAATCCCATCATAATCCCTAGATTATGGGGAAAACCATGGTTTCCTGTAGATTTTCCCTATTCATTACTGCTTCATCGTGTCACTTCGCCGTAAAAAACCCGTCCCGCTTTCCGCTGCCGGGCCGAAAAGCGCCTGCATGCAGCTCTGGGACAACTGACCGTCCAAGCCCGGAAAGGCGTAGACCACGTCCAAGGCCAAAGACACCTGGCGAAAGGGTCGAAGAAGGAGGATCTGGTTGGTGGTTGATATACTGTTAATAATGGTTAATATTAATGGTTAATCTATGGTTAATCTATGGTTAATATTAATGGTTAATCTATGGTTAATCTATGGTTAATATTAATGGTTAATCTATGGTTAATCTATGGTTAATCTATGGTTAATCTATGGTTAATCTATGGTTAATCTATGGTTAATCTATGGTTAATATTAAGGGTTAATATTAATGGTTAATATTAATGGTTAATATTAATGGTTCATATTAATGGTTAATCTATAGGTTAATCTATGGTTCATCTATGGTTAATATATGGTTAATCTATGGTTAATCTATGGTTAGTCTATGGTTGATATTAATGGTTAAAATTAATGGTTAATATTAATGGTTTATATTATTGGTTATGATGATGGTTTTCATGATGGTTGATAATAATCTGCTTGGTGGTTGAGCCACCCCTCTGAAAAATGATGGAGTTTGTCAATTGGGATGATTATTCCCAACTGAATGGAAAAATAAAACATGTTCCAAACCACCAACCAGGATAACTCTATATGGAGGTTTCTGTAAATGGGGGTACCCCAATAGCTGGATGTCTTTTTTTTCTGGAAACTCATATCAAAATGGATGATTTGGGGGTACCCCTATTTTAGGAAACCATCATATCTATATGATAAGATCTTGGCGGTTACCATGATGTTAATATATCTGGGTACTGTAAATTATAATATTTCACTAACCTGAATTAAGGCCATTTTGGGATGATTCCCCTTACTAACTATGATTTTAGTGAGGTCGCAGTGAGGTCGTTATAATTTACCCAGATATATATATATATATATACATATACACATGTTGATGTAACTTAGTTAACTCAGTGAACTGCATCTTGGTGGCGCCAAAGTTCGTTAGCTAAGTTAGTTCATCACCGGGTCTTGACCCATAGTGTATCAACAGTGGTACCCTCTGGTAAACGTTGACATAGCTATTGAAAATGGCCATAGACATAGTGGATTTTCCCATTAAAAATGGATCTTTCCATAGCTTTTGTATGTTTACCAGAGGGTAGTATCCATTTAATCCCATTATAATCACATTATAATCCCTAGATTTTAGGGCCATCACATCCAGTCATGGCTCCCATGCCATGCGGCTCCGCACCCAGAGTTGTTGAATCTCCGCATCCAGCGCCTGTCGGGACAGGGACAGCTGGTTACAAACAATGGTATCGATGGCCAAACAAAAATTCACCTATATATATATATATGCTTGTTTTTTGTAAAGATCTTAGCCATATCCCAATGGTTTTTCTCGTGTCCTCATGTCTCCTATGGCTTATGGAATCGAAATAAACAAAACATATATATATATATATATATCGTCACAAAATGCTAACTGTGACTGTTGGCATGCAACATAGGGCCTAGCACAATAGACAAAATGGGAAAACATTGTCTAATAGATGGGCTTGTCTGAACATATCACTATACTACAGATTATGTATATATATATATATGCTTATCATGGCTCATGTATAATTACATCCTACACATATCCTATATTATATTATAGTTACTATTACTATGACGTCCCCCTAGTGTTGCAAATACCCTCTGAGCTTGTTTCGGTGTTTAGACCTCCACATGATATTCCCATTCGCCCATGCTACCACCATTGTTGATGAATAAATCCCCATGTTTGATGATTACGTCACCATAACTAGCAATACACATATATATATAAATATATGTATAAGATGACATATCACTACATATACGGTTAGTATTAAGATAAGGTCACCATATATATATATATATACACACTACACATATATCATCTTATTTAGATAAACATATATATATATATAAGGACTATCTATTACTACAATCTGATTGTTTTTGAATCTTGTCTCCCCAACAAAAAACACCACACCTGTCCAGAGTCTCGCAGCTTGACCAGCTCTGCCTGCAGGGCCCAGTTCAGGTCTGGTCATGGCGCCGATGTGATTTCTGTATAGACTTTACACAACTGACTTATGCAGAGATTGTATCGATTTTATATGATTTTATCCGTAAGTGGATTACTGGTTGGTGGTTGAGCCACCCCTCTGAAAAATATGAAAGTCAGTTGGGATGATTATTCCCAACTGAATGGAACAATATAAAATGTTCCAAACCACCAACCAGGATAACTCTATATGGAGGTTTCTGTAAATGGGGGTATCCCAATAGCTGGATGGCTTATTTTTTCTGGAAACTCATATCAACCACCAACCAGCCATAAGTGGATCAGATTGGATTAGACTGGGCCTTGTTGGCTATGCAAAATCCCCGTGGGACCAAATCAGCTATGAATGGCTAGGGAAAGTCACCATGTTCAATAGGTAAAATCATGGCTACACATGGGCAATTTACCCTTTCTCAACAAGACATTTTGGATATAACCTATGCGTTTGTACTTGTTGCATCCCTTGACACTGAACGCATCAACAAAAGTTGGCAAAAGCGCCAACATCTGTGGGTACATCGTCCCTGTTTATGGGTTGAGGGTCGACGGGTAGACTTTCAAGTTCTTGGCCATGAACTTCCAAGTCAAGCAGATATATGATTACCTGATTATAGAATATTATAGAATATTGTAAATGTTTATAGTAGATTATAGTCTATTAACATCTGTTAACTGATTCTCTCTGTTGAACCTAATCATCAGCCTCTCCCAACAAACTCGCACCTTGGACAGCAGCTGATGCGCACAAACCTGACTCTACATATCTTGGACGGAACTCGTCGGAAACCTCCAATCTTCAAGAGAAGCACATCATTTACATGGATTGTTAACACAACATTCCCATCTCATATGGTTATCATCCACTGCTTGGTGGTTGAGCCACCCCTCTGAAAAATATGAGTTCGTCAATGGGAAGGATTACATCCCATATATGAAATGGAAAATAAAATTCATGTTCCAAACCACCAACCAGTCCATGTACTTATGTCGTGTTTTCCATCTCATATCCCCACCGTTATCCCCCATTTTAGATGGTCAAATCCTCCATTTTCGACGCACAGCCGGGGCGTCCGTTCTCAGTGTCTGGCCATCACAGGTGTGTACCAACTGGCTGGAGCCAACAAGGGCTCGCCCACGCCTCCCGTTGATGGCTTCGAAACACCAATAGGACATGACATATCATAGGAATGTATTGGTTAATCATATATATATATACATGGGTTATATTATGTTATATTCATATTATTAACCCCACGGCAAAATTGACCCATCAATTGTCAGATAGGAATATTATAACCCACTATCATTTATGGTGTTTCCCAGTATTTATATATATATAACCAATATCATAAGAATACAACAGGAATATAACCATATAATTTGGGTTTCTCTGCAAATTCATGGGAAAACCCACTAAATCCAGCGATGAATCATCATGATCCCATCATTTTCGCCTCAAGGTGCAACACGACAATTTTTCGGGGTAGACCGGTAGACCCTATTTCCAAACAAAGAAAAATGGTGGATATATATTTTTGTCTACTTGGCCTCTGAAATCTACCAGATGATGGTAACATCTGTATTGCGGATCAATCTAATCTGCACCTGCTTCTTCAAAGTGGGTCGAAACTGAACATTAGCAAACACAAAGAGCTAGGGCGGAATGAGCTCTTGGCTTTAACTCCTGATTTGTTCACCTCATTCAAACTCAAAACGAGTATGTGTTTCTGCGTGCTTGTTCGAAGTAGAAATACATATCAAAGTAGTCCAATTGCAAAAAAATGCAAACTCAAACCAAGGCCATACATACAAGAAAAACTGCTGCTGGCGATAGAAACAGTTCAAACCAGGCAACCACGGGATTAGCTAACTCGGGTGCTTCCACAATTACAACGGAATGTACACACCTTTCTAGGCCCCAAATGTATACTGTAATTAAGTTGCGTAAGGAATACCATTTACCCAGTAGAAGCTATTACCCCGTGAAAATTCGAGGTAGTTTTCAAAAAACACATAAAAACACTATGTTTAAGGCAAAGCATCATAAATCATCTATAATTGTGCCATCTATACCATGGCTACGTAAAATAACCAGAAGGTTATTTAGCTAATTGTGAAGGGATACGACCTAGCCACATTACACGAACATTTCCAGGATCAGTAGACTCAGCACCCAGCAAGCACCTGGTGAGACGGGAGCCCTGCCACTTGCATGCAGCAAACGATAACCACGCTCCTCGGCTGCGGCTGGAAATCTGTACGTTACGAGCAACTGCCACGACTGGAGTTATCCGAAACGGTGGAAAATCAAACGTGGCTAGCTGGAAAATCCACCGCAAATCGATATAAATGAAGGTGTTAATGGTAAAATCATCTAGAAATAGGGACTTGTCCATTGCAATGTTTGATTGAGGGTATACCGCTTTCACAACGTAGGCTTTAGGTGATTGGGACCATACTTCAATCATGATACCTGTATAGAACTGGAAAGCAACCTGCAACTTTAGGGGACAAAGATGAAGCATCTCACCACGTGGTACATACCAATGGTGTCACACCTAGAGCTTGAGTGACGTCAATGATTTCGTCAAACGGCCATAGCTTCTAATCAGTCAATTTGTTGAAGAGTACAACATGTCTTGCTTCGTGTGCGTGCTGGCCGCTCTTTTCCAAGGAAGGTGCCCTCACGACTACATCATGGCCATGAATGCATACATAGTGTGAATGAACTTGCATATCCGTTACTTCTACAAAATCTAATGTACAAACGTATCTACGTACATCTGTCATGATAATATATATATATATTATCGCAAGTAGAGATATTGCATTGAAACATCATGACTACTCCTCAACCAAACGCACAACAACACGAACAAAAACTTATATGGCAAGGAGTCAAAACCCTGGATGTGTTTTATTCCCTGAAATATCCTAATAGGTTTTGCCCCTTCCCAATAAAGGTGGTCAAAAACATCTACAATGTCATCGTTCAAGGAATGAACATCCATCACTACCAACTCCTTTAGGGTGCTCAAACCCACGTACTGTTGGGTGAACTGACCCATAGTCATATCCCTTGCCCTCTGGTAATAAAACATGACAGAAAATCCACCAATGATACATGAACTCTCCGTTCAAATGCCCATTTATAGTGGATTATAGTGGATTTCCCATCGCCATGTGTTTACCCAATGTGTACACACCCCACAGCTACCACCGTAAGCCGAGTGACTTTGGCAGATTTCTCGAAATCGATACTGGCCATACACCTCGGGCGTTGGGATGTCCCATAAAACGGAAAATTTCAAAATTGGATGGTTACCCTCTGGTTATGTCAAAATAGCTATTGAAAATGACCATAGAAATAGTTGCTTTTCCCATTAATAGCATGGTGGATCTTTCCATAGTTATGTAAACGATTACCAGAGGGTAAAGAAGGTTCAAACCATGTTGAATCCAAGCAGTGACACAACCTGCCTGTGCTTTCAATGTCTTCCAGAAACAATCTGCCTGATACCATGACCTGCAATCTGAGGATCCGAACTTCACTTGGACTATCCTTTAAACTACCCCGCCAGAAACCGTGTTTTAGCATGGGGATCTATTCACTTTGGGACTTTGGGGGCCCATTTAGGGATTTCAATACAGGGCAATCATTGTCATCACGTTTGCTGATTGTTGTCAGCCCAATGGCAACTCTGTATTAACAAATATGGGAGGTACCACTTATAATTGGATTTATCATTATTTTGAGGACCCCCTATGATTAGGGTGCAGTTCCAATGAACTAAGTGGATATCAAGTATCAAATTGGAGCCCACCATATCCATAACCATATGTATCCATTTGACTAATATGGGGCTCCTATATAGGGTTCCTATAGTTACTGGTTGGTGGTTTCAACCCCTCTGAAAAAAAAAATATATGGAAAAATAAAAGTCATGTTCCAAACCACCAACCAGGTTATATATCACATATCCATATAAAATCCATACCTACAGGAGCCCCATATCAAGTGCCAAACGCGGCTGGAGGTGAATTCACCAAGTCCTACAACCCAGCTGGGTCATCAACTTGTTTTTATATTCCCCACAAACACCGGCTACAGATATAAGCATAGTTAATCATTCCATGAAAAAACCATCAGTTAACCATAGTTCACCACTATATTCCACTATGACACTACTTATTAACTTATTAATCTAGTGGAATATGGAATACTTCCCATCTATTATTAACTCCCATCTAGTGGTATTCCACTATGATTCTACTATAGTTTCATACTTCCCATCTAGTTACATTCCCCATAAACAAAACGTCGTCCTCCGTCGTCCTCGGCCCCGGGGTCCAGTGGGTCCGGTCCACTGGGTCCACCGACCATCCGTGCAGCTTCTTCAAGAGCGCCTGAGACCCGGCGGTGCCAATGGCCGTCGCTACCTGGCGATTTTTCGATTCTTCAGGGCCCCCTAAAAATATAGGGGATGTGAGTAGGAGACTCACTCAGAACCACAAGATTTCAGGATTACCCATGACGGATCCATGTATTATTTATGTATGGTATATTAATGCTAACATGACTGGGGTATATTGATGGGATCCATGGCACACCATATATAGCAGCACCATGGATCCGTCATGGGTTATGTGAGTATCCCCTTCCCTAATAATCACAAACATTAAGCAAGTTACGTTTGTGTAACTAACCTTCAGGCAAATATATGTGGTTTTTCACATGGTCCAACATGACTTTAATCAGGCAAAATGGTGGATTCACAAGGATGATTTGTACCAATATTTTCCAATGAATGGTGGGAGGTACCGTCTGGTAATTTCACATAGCTAACTGGCAAATCACCATTTTTAAGTTCGGTAAACCATCTATTTCTATGGGCCATCTATACCATAGCTATGTTAGTTTACCAGAGGGTATATCCCATTAAATCCCATTAAATCCCATTAAATCCCATTAAACCATCATTTTCCTATGGTTTTCCTATGGTAATAGACCATTGAAATCCCATTGAATGGTGGCTAGACTCCACATCTTGCTTTGGAGGGGGTGGTTTCACTGTTTCACCATCTGCCTGCTGCCGGCGGTGCAAGAGGCTTGCCAAGACCTGCCCGGAGCTCGCTCGCTCGCGACCAACGGCGACGTTTACGGGGACCCCACATGGTAGTACCAATGGACCTACAAAGCCCATGATTCTTGTCAGAAGTAAAAGACTTCCCAAAAAATCTGTAAATACTTCCTCTAATTGATCTACCCTCTGGTAAACTAACATAGCTATGGAAAATCACCATGCTATTAATGGGTAAATCAACTATTTCTATGGGCGATTTTCAATAGCTCTGTAACAAATTACCAGAGGGTACGTCATCTAGTCTTTACACTTACATATGTTCAGGTGGATGACATTTTGAGTCCGACTTTCCTGGAACTTCAATTATGAACGGTGGCCATGTTATCCTGTGTGAGGTCAGGAGATTCACCAATTTGCTTCGATTCATGTTGGAGACCATTCCATGACATTCCCCATACCCTCTGGTAAACATACAAAAACTATGGAAAATCATTATTTTTAATGGGAAAACTGGAAAACTCACTATGTCTATGGCCATTTTCAATAGCTATGTTTGACATAACCAGAGGGTATCAAGCAACGTTCAGACTGGCCACCAGCCCTGCCCTCCCAAACCGTTCCGTTCAGTCGCTGCCTGTGTCACACAGGCCAGGCAATCTGCCGGAGGTGTCTGGGTCTCATCATCGCCCAGGGCATCTAAACAGGCCTGCCACATCTGGGGACGACGACGAAAAATGTGGGTCATTCTGGATGGAAATGGCTATAGAATCAATGTGGGACTTATGGTTAATATATACTTAATGTATGGTTATTATATGTTATTAGATGGTTAATGATGGTTATATAATAATAATATGGTTGGTGGTTTTAACTCTATCTTGAAAAATATGAGTTCGTCAATGGGAAGGATGACATCCCATATATGAAATGAAAAATAAAACATGTTCCAAACCACCAACCAGTATAGAATCAATGTGGGATTTATGGAAATTGATTATTCATGGTGTATCTTCAGTTGAATGGGTGAACATAGACTCAGAAAGACAAACATAAATGGGGGAGACCACATGTTACGAAAGAGGAACATGCTACTCTACTCTAAAAAATCCCTCAATGGTACAGCAATTGCCCGGATCTGAACAAAAAGGCCCGACTGAAGAAGTGATGGTGAAATCCACCGTGGATTTCCACACATCAATCCCATCACCCTAGCCCTAGCTGGTCCCATGTCAGTTGGGATGATGAAACTCCCCCAAAAAAAAATGGAAGAACAAAAATTCCATGGTTCAAAACCACCAAGCAGATACTCAACAATAGTTTCTGAGAGTGTTGAATATTAGATGATGAAAGGGATTAATCATGATTAATCCCAAGTTTTACATGTCCACCACGCCCATATTTGGCCACCCTTTTCCGGCGCTCTACGCCGTACGGGCCTGAACCACTGCAGAGGCGTTGGCTTCAGTGCCGTTCTTCCCGACCTCGGGGCGGTAGGGCTTTCATGGGATCGCTGATTGATGGCTAAGTTGACGCACATCACTTGGTTGACGTTTGGGTTGATTACCCTCTGGTAATTTAACATAGCTATTGAAAATGGCTATTTATAGTGGATTTTCCCATTAAACATTGTGATTTTCAATAGCTATGTTAAATTACCAGAGGGTAGGGAATTATAACAAACTAGAATCCAACTAGCTAACGGCATTATAAACAAACTTAGAATTGCCCCCCCCTTGTATAATCCCTTCCGCCAAACAATGCGCAAGTTGTTCCAACTCATCTAACTTCATTTGGACTATCCTGGCAATCGTCTTCCAAAACTATTTTGAATATCCCCTAGAAACCATGGTATATGATTGGATCTATTCACTCAATACATATGGCAGGTATCACAGGTATGATCTCGGCATGGGATTTTTCACCATGTCCGTTCATACTGTGGATGGCAGAAATCCACCAGGCAGGTAGATGGTTTATCTAACTCTACTCCTTGTATTTATAGTGTTTCATAGGTACTAATAGTTCCTAACTGGTGCAAGAATGTGCAAGATGTATTCCATCCACAGTATGTCTAGCAGTGGAATGATAACCCCAAATAATTTGAGACATGTGGTGGACCATGTCATACGTCCTCTACATTATGATATGTATCAAATCCAGCTGTCCGCATGTCTATCTAATTCAAGACTTGAAATTAACGCATGGCTCAAAATTATGGGTCCTTATATTCTATGCAGTCATCATGCCATTAAAACCACTGTTTGACCTGTGTCCAAGCCTACATGACTGGTTTCGGCCTCCAAAAAAACTTGGAGATCGAGAAGCTGTTGGATGACCGCGTAGGCCCAGTCCGGCTGGACCGAGTAGTCCGGTCGAACCCTTCCATGCCAGTGGACTGGGATGTTCGAACCCATCACCATCAACTCCGCCCATGCCAAGGCTTGAGCATCGGATGCTACGTCAGCCTTGACCACCGGCATGTGGTTTGTGGTGAAGTCGCTTGCTCTCCTCTCTGCAGCAGTGAGCTGCTCCCTGGTCAACCACCAGACGCCTCGACCTCTCACAAGGTCACTTGCGATGGGCATGCCCCCCGGCACCGGACCAACCCAGACCGAGTCCAAGTCATCTGGTGTCCAGTACCACCCAAGCCACCTCCAGGGTTGACTGGAGGCCTGGTTGTCGGGCGTGGACCAGAGCTGCATCGTAGGAACTCGCCCATCCACTCGCAACAACTTGGGTTGCTTGATCAAGGATGCGGGCGGTGAGGGCAGATGCGGTCAAAGCTTTGGGGCTGTCTGGAATGTTGCAATCCCAGATTCAAAAAAGAAAGGTTCAACGATGATAATCTAATAGCTGAATTCCAGAATTGATGGTGCAAATGCTAAACTCCGGGTTAGTGATTCAACATCCAATAAACTGTTTTTGACACACATGCTTAGCAAACCAGCTAGCCATTACTCACATCTGAAAAATTAGACTACCCTCTGGTAAACGTTTACATAACGATGGAAAATCACAATGCTATTAATGGGTAAATCAACTATGTCTATGACCAATTTCAAGTTCGCAAACTGTTTCTTTACCAGGCCGGGTAAACCTCCATTTTCCTATGGTTTTCCTATGGTTTTCCCATTCAAACCTCCATTTTTGATTCACAAAAATCCCAATAGCTTGGACTGGGATGGTTACCATATTGTTGGCCATATTCTGTGGGGATTTTCCATGATTTTCCCTGGAATTTAGGCCTGAAAAATAGAGGCCTTATATATGGTAGGTACCTCCAATTTAGGTTCCTGAAATGGCCATTGATGTGATATACTTCGATTATATTCCCAGAATATTCCCACTATATGAAATCCTGATGTTCTAATGATCATCATTCCATTCCAGGCTAGTTTCTAGATTGATGTCCATCCCATTACATACACAATTAACTATAATATACATATATATATACACATATGATCATTCATTCATATATATATATGTATCCCATGACATATTTCCATGCATCCCATAATATATTTCATTATATTCCCATTTTAGTCGTCATGTATTTCATTATATTCCCATTATATATATAGTCCCATTAATATCCTATAGATACCAACATTGGAGGTACCCAGGTTAATATATTAATATATGCTACATCAACCAATATATCAACCAGGGTATCCTATTAATATGGTTGATGTACCCTGGATTTTGTGGGTACTCCGTACATGATTGTCCGAAACGCGCTTTCCCCAAGCTGAGCTCACCACGGTGTTGTCCCAGAGCTGAATAGGTACAGCCACCTGGTGTCCCGGTGTCTTGCCGATGCTACAATCAACAGAAACTGGATCCGCGAAATAGGTGATCTAAACCATAGATATAACAAACTATACGGATTATGGTAGATACATCCATGGATATCTACCATTTGTCTATTTCACTAAGTGTACTATATGGTTTATGGTAGATATTGGTAGAGAATGAAAATTATACTTAGATGGAATCTAAAACAACTCTGAAACTGGCTTGGACCCCAGATTTCAACGACCTTTTGTGATTGTACTATCAGGCATCATCAGTTGGAGCTCTTCTTTTTCCTCATTCTTTTGCTACGAAATCCTGAACGGTTTCGAATCTTGGGATTTCAACGCAGGAAAAACAACGATGATTTCATCGACGAGATTGCAGATTGGATTGGGCCAATGAAAATAGGGAGATGCCCAACGCTAGATTGACTAGATGGTGGTAGTAGATGGTGGTAGTAGATGGTGGTAGTAGATGGTGGTAGTAGATGGTGGTAGATCTCAAATTATCCAATTAGAATTGTCATACTTCGAATCACATCAATATTTTTCGGATCATTCCGCTGAGAGTCCCTTCAGCTTTTTTCCCTATTTTATACCCTCTGGTTATTTAACATAGCCATGGAAAATGGCCATGTAAAAAAAGATGCTTTACCTGGGTTTACCTATTGAAACATATAAAAACTGGTGATTTTCCATAGCCAAATAACCAGATGGTAACATTTCTAAGTGGCAAGCTGCCAGCTGAACGGTCACCGGGTGATCCTACAAGGACTTGCCATGTCGAAAGGGTGCACCACCAACACTTAAGTTATACATATATCATCGCATGGAAAATCGCAACCCCTTAATTATGTATACATATGTATGTATCTATATTATATAATATATATATACACATATGTATCTATATATATATATACTGGAACTATGTCTATCTATATATTAATATATATATATATACACATAATTCTACATACATATTTAGTCTTAATTAATCTTTGTTACATCTATATCATATAAAGTATGAACATCATTGAACATCTATGTTTCCCACGCCGAAAATGACTCGATCAATTCTTGGCTCCCCACGATGAAGGCCATCGCATCTGCCACCACGGGAATGGCCTGCCGCGACGCACGTCTGTCCCGAAAAAATCGATATAAAATGAAAATAAACGGTTGCGTTAAGGGGAAATAATCTATAAATGGATATCACATGAATTAAATGGGGGAATTGTCCATGCTCTAAGCATTTACAAATAGGCATTTTATCTTCAAAGCGATGCAAAACTCTCTGAAACTTAGAGAAACACAATCATGAAATTTGACAAATTGGTATCTTATCTCCATTTTTGGTAGCTGGATATGTTGGGTCACTGTGCAAGAACCTTTAAACCTTGACAAGCACCTATAGTAGTTGGTATTTTACACAAGTCTTATGGGTGAGCTGCAGTAGCTGTGTTCACTTTTCTCAGTTTGTGCTGTACAGTTTCGGTTTCTGAAGCTGAAACCTCTTAAGAAGCTGCTGAATTTGCCCTGCAAATCCTTTTCATTTTCAATACGATTCACATATTGGCAAAACTTGTGATTACTTTCCTTTTGAACATGTAGCTTTCCTAATCAGCCATATTTGCGAGGTGAGCCCTCCCACATACAAGTTGGTTTATCACCCCATGAACTGTACATAGGTATATCGCCCAAAAAGCCTAGCCAAGTTCTGAACCAAGTTAGCTATCGAACGGGGGCCCACCTTATTTTGGGAGACCACTCCACCCGGCGCCACCGCGCCACTGGGCTCGTTTTTCTCAGCGATACTTTTCGGTCCATTTCTCTAGCGTCTCATGCAGCAAATCTTTTGCTGACCAATGCCTCGTAGAGAGGAATGAGCACCTGCCACCAGGAAGAGCCCTGGTATCCTCTGGTCATTTGTGCCGGGCTATGGAAAATCACAATCTTTAAAAGGTGAATCAACTATAAATTGCTCGTTTTTCTATAGCCAACTGTTGAATTACCAGAGAGTACGCTGAATTACTGGTCGTGTGGAAAAACACTCCTGTTGGGTTTGGGGTACGGGCCAACCCTCAAGAAATATCAGTCTTATGAACCATTTGAGCTATACCATATACTTGAACTCCACATCATGACTAATCTTAGATACCCGGCATGAAAAAGACAAACATTGGTCAATTCATAACCCTGTTTAAAGCAAGAGATTGAAGTACTAAACTGAGTATGAAGAGGGAGCCACAGCGATCCCTGGGAGTTTCTTTTGTGGATCAAGTTAACTATCAAACCATGGGGGAGCTGATAAACCACTTGCATGGAAGACCCCAATTTCAAACAAACTCATATCCAGCAGACCCAGTTGAAAGGTCTATTCTTCACCTCGATTGGTGGAGGCCAAAAAGAGCATGGCAGCTATAAAACATCCAACATATGTGTGACGATATCAACAACATTGTGTTCCTTCGCACAATTTCAATGTGTCACAAGCAACGGAAGAGATGGCTTTCTGTTTGGTTCTCCAATATCAGCCTCTTCCATCATCCCAGCCATATCCGATTCCCCCAGCCATCAAGTCATCCCGGTGTAGTTCACCGTGCCAAAAGTTGAGTTTGTGCTGCCCCACTTCGAAGTTGGTTTACAAGCCAATTGAAAGAATACATATCTTTCAATATTGACCCAACATATGATTGAATCTGAATATGATTGAATATGATTTATATATTCACCCTAGATCTCCCAATATTCAATCATATTCACCCACTCATAACCCATAATTTAGCCAACATAAAATGGCGCACCACCTAGTTGCACATCAACCCGCAGCCGGCCAAGCTGGCCTGTGTCTCTGTTCTGATGGCCACCTTTAGACTGCTGCTTCCGGGGCTCACCGTGACTTCCGCCAAGACGGAGCAGTTGTTGCTGGTCTGGGCCGAGGTGTACAACGCCACCGAGCCATCCTAAGGAGATGCCATGGGCCATGTGGTTCTTTACCCCCCAATTCTCGGATGCCCAAAAAAGGTGAAACTTTGAACAACACGGATCCAAATATATGACCTTGAGGATGTTCCTATTGAAAATTTATGGTTGCAGCATGGTTTGGGTGACTTCATGCTCGTGACAGCTACACAGGATAAAACCACCGAACTGTCATGTATTGATTCATTGTTCAGAACCGCAACATACACCTCTCCCTTCCGACACCCTCTTCGATGGATTGGTGTGTACAGGAAATCGTACTAGGAAGACCCCATCAATTTCCTGGGGTTTCCCCATGGTGTCCGCTTAAGATTTTCCCAACAAGTAGTTACAGTAATCAAGTTAGAAGTTAAACAAGTCAACCTAGCTATCATACATCATGATCAGCTACAATGTGCCCCCCCAGTTATTTTTGTTGGTTTGTAAGCCCCATTAAGTATAGTTATAAGTATAGTAAACTATATTAGCTATCGAACGGGGGCCCCACTTTGTATAAATCTCATGAACAATCCCTAAAGTTATGGCCCTTTACCAGTTATAAATACTTATAATCCCATTTATGAAATGTATAATCCCATTTCCAACCAGTTGTTTCACCATTTATCATTGGTAAACGGCCATGACTGTATTGCAAATCTCCTGCCAAGTCGCTTCCAGCTGCCGCTGCGCCACGTAGCAAATGTTGTCTTGCGCCATTCGGCTCTTGACCATCTCCTGAGGAAAGACGGGCCCCGTTGAACGTTGTGTGTAAAAATGTTGCCTACAAACATGGGTACCCAAGAAGTTGACTCACCAATAAGTACATGTATTTATGTATACATATTATATATATATATATATACATATATGTATGGATTTCATCGTGAAAAAACTGGGATTTTTGAACATCAAACCTATTTTTTAACCAACCATCCCCATGGTTAATCATTACTGTTCCTATGAAACGACATGAATTTGTTTGGGTGGAATATAGCAATTTCAGACAAACCTCTATGGGTGTTTGTAGGTTCACCAAGCAGCCAATGATTCTGGAGATTTTCAGCCAGTACTGCGCTTAGGTTAGGTCCTTAAAAGTATTTTTGCCAGTGACCCAGCTGCGTCGCGAAAAAGAACAGGACTGACCATTACAAGTTGATGTCACGTGATGTTTCAAGTTGACATTTTTCCACAGCTTTGTGGGTTCGATCCCAATTTTACTGATCAATTCAAGATACTGGTTCGACCCTCCAAATACCCAGGACAAAAATGGTAAAAGTACTCAGATTTTCTGGGTTTTTCCCATGGGTTTTTCCATGGTAAACCCATGACTTTCAAGGCAACTTGGATGGTCTACCTCCACCATTTTATGGCACCGTCGAGTCGCGGAGTCGAGCGGTCGATCCATAGGAATTATGGCCATTTTCCTCGGTGACCAACTGCAGTCGGTGAAGGTTGCTTGGTTATGTACTATTAATATGGTTAATGATGGTTGATAATAATGGTTAATCTATGGTTAATCTATGGTTAACCTATGCTTAATTACCATTGGTTGGTTAGTAATATATTTACCACTATGCTAATTTACCACTATGGTTTAATATGGTTGAAAAATCCCATGAATTATCATACTTAGTTACTTAACTATGGTTAATATTAACTATTAATATTAATGGTTAATATTAATGGTTATGATGATGGTGAATGATGGCTAATAATAATCTGGTTGGTGGTTTCAACCTACCCCTCTGAACAATATGAGTTCGTCAATGGGAAGGATGACATCCCATATATGAAATGGAAAATAAGTAATGTTTGAAACCACCAACCAGGTGATGTACTATAGATATAGATGAACTTAGTGCTACTATGTTCATGTATGTTCAACATAGTTATAATCCTATGGGTTGGTTTCTAACTACTTATATGTACCTAAATGAATCACATATTATAAAATTATGGGATAAAACACATTTTTTTGAGCATACATGGCGAGTCTAGGTAGGTGAATTCTATCAGTTGATGGTACTTATTACTACAATTAGATGATGTTAGATGGGCAAACATAACTGGAGGGCCCCCCACCTTGCAGCAACTATGCTAGCGGGAGAATCTATGGGATAAATAATTGCAGCAATGAGTGCCATCTTGTTCAGGTTGTAAGGCTTGCCATTTGCGTTTCAATTGGATGCAAAAAAACAACATGCATCCGACATATGAGCAAAAAAACCTGCAAGGTCCGCCCCAGTGTTTGTTGGTTTATGGGGCCACCTGGTGGATTTTTTTCCGGACTCTTTAATGCCCATCCTTGGTCAAGCAGCCAAAGTTTGGTGGTCAAACCACAATGTGCGTTTGCTTACACCCCAAATGTTTGGTTTGCTGAGATCTTCATATCCCAAATGTGTGGTTTGTCAGGATCCCTACCATTTTTTTGGCCAAGATCTTCCATAATCTTCTCCAAAGATGTTCTACCAGCTGTCCCCAAATGTGTCCTATAACAGCACGCCAAGGGTCTGGCCAGCCTCCCCCACGCGTTGCCAAATGGGCGTGAAGTCGTCGCGGCTCAGCGCCGCATTCTCGACCAGGACCACGGAGAGGTCGAATTGGACGTGGAAGTAGAAGATGTCCAGCGAGGTCTTGATGGCCACCTGGCTGGTGAAATTTCATGCAGTGAAGGCCACAAAAAGATGCCTTAAGTCACATCAACTTTTTTGGACAGCACAATTCCTATTGCGGGGAAGTTGTATTTTGATGATTCTAAACGAGAAAAAAAGACTTGTGGTGCAAGTGCAACTCTTATGTTTTTACCCATGCGTTCACCTTATGTAAAGATTATCTAACGTGTAAATATATATATATATACATAAGTTATGAGGATACAACAAAGAATATATGGATACTATCGAGGTTCTGATGGTAACCAGTTGTATATGGATACTATATTGATATACATATTGATGTAAAAGTGCAGCAACCTGGCTGGCCGTCTCCCAATTTGATAGTTGGCAACACATCCCCGGTAATATCAATGTTCAGTGCCAAATCCCATGAAATGACAATGAAGATGTCCAGGTTTTGATGGCGACCTGCTGGCAACTCAAGACATTAATCTAATATATATATATATTGTATATATATATGTATATATATATATATTAATATATATATATATACACACGTATATACGTATATACAACCAACATAACTATTGATATCACTGTTATGGGGATAGATCATATTGATCTATGTATTAAATACCATTTTCTAACCACTTACTACCCATAGTGTTGCTTACAGTATGCACGTTTTGTTCCAACATTTACAACTGTTGTCAGCCTGTTATCCCAATAAACTTCAATCAATCAATTCCCCAGGCTCTTGCTGTCAAGGCCACAGTAGAGCTGGAACCATAGCTCTGAAGCGCTGCATTCACCAGATAGTGGATCATAGTAACTAGCCACTTAGGCTTATACCAGCTATAGTTCAATGACTTTCACATTTCCATCAATAATTCGATGACTCTTCCACGTTTCATGACAATATCAACGAATCTATATAGACTCCACTTGTTCCCTAATTGGTGGTTTCAACCCCCCTGAAAAATATGAGTCAGATTGGATCATCCTCCCAACTATGGGGGAAATAAAAAATGTTCCAAACCACCAACCAGATATATTGTTATTCCAATGATCCACCATAGATTAACCATAGATTAACCAGGAAAAATTCCAACCAGTTCCCATATGTTTTCCATATGTTTTCCCATGTTTCATGACATTTCACCCATCTTTTTAGGGTCATTTGACCCACGACCCCACCTGCAGCAACAGTGGGGAGCTGGGCGCTGTGTTGCTCAGCAACTGTTGTGGCGCCATGGCCACGGAGACCTGAGACGAGGCAGAGACATATTCCAATGAAGGGGATGGTTGATACCATATAAAAGTGAAAATAAGTGAAACTTATACCATATATATATTATTTATAGCTGAGGAGCTGCCTAATCATTAGTGACAAGTATCTACCGTTTATACCATTGAAAAAAAACATATAAACAAATATAAAAGTGAAAATGGTGATGACCTGGTTCATTAGTGGGCATATATATATATATAATTATACAATTATATATATATATATATATGAACATAGTGATGACTTGGAGATGGTAAAAAAATAGTGGGATGTAAACGGGAACATCATAGGGATTAATCAACAACTAATAGGGATGTGAGCAGATTTCTAATGGGATTTAAGATGATGCTATATGAGTTAAATATCACCATTTTGATGAGTTATATATAACCATTTTTATGAATTAGTATTTCTAGCATCCAGTTTACATCCCAACCATATAAACCATCATTCAATGGGTATGTAATCGGGAATATCAGGGGAATGCGTATTGAGGTTTCTCAAAAGCGGGTATCAAAAAAAAGTCACCATGCCGGACCATGGCACCGTACTAAGTCATGGTCCTTCATGACTAAAAATGATCTGGGGGGGGTACCCCTTATTTTCTTATGGGGTAGGCCGGCCGGTACGGACGATCCTCACTATGCCGGAAGCCAGCTTGATGATCCACAGTGGTTACCCTCCGCAAATCATGTAAGATGGCGCTGGGAAGTCCCCTACAGATGAGAGATTGAATGGGAAATTGATCTGGCATGTTTGCTTACCAGGCTTGATTATCAAGTCTAAGTGGTTTCAACCAATCCCGCGTTGTCAACTGGGATCATCATGCCATGTGACCATGGCTGCCAGCAAGAAATTTTGGGCACGTCACGGCCATTGGCATAGACAATCTGCAAACATTGGATTCTCAACAGCTTAAGAACACCCTTCCCCCAACAAAACTGAGTTATGATAGTTCTATGCATAGTTTTTCTTTTGAATTTGGGGCTCTATACAAGGTGTAACCCCACCAGTCATGAGTTGGGTAGAAATACCGTTAACTATAACATACGATAGTTTTCTATCGTCTAAGTAATTTCTTTCTACTACGATGCGTCTTGTGATCTCGGGTCCTGCAACAGTGTGAGACGCTTGGGCGCCCGGCTTTAATTACTATCCCATAAACCCCATAAACCCTAGTTAGCCAAGTTGTAAGCCAAGTTATAAATCAGGCTTTATGATGTTTATATATTTTTTATATATGTTTATGGTGGGATATCATAATATATATATAATATAATATATATATATATAATATATATAATATATATATAATAAGCGTTTCTTTTAATACACCAACCGACATCCCAGGAGCCTGGGCCCTACCTCACCCCAAACCGTTTGGCCGGCCTCCGAGGACGAGCCCGGCTGGATTTCGGAACAGACCAACTGCTCCTTGGGCGCGAAGCCGAAGGGGTTCTTGTTCACCTGGCGCGGCAACGGTGGGATGGACACAGGTTGGACATGGGGAAAATGGGGGAAAATATGGGATGGACATCAGGTGTTTAGTAATACAAGTTTGTGAAATCAAAAAAAATATCAAAAACATGTTTGTGAAATCAAAAGTTGAAATGAATCGAGATGACACAATAAAACAATAACATGTAAATGCAGTTTATGTATGAAAGGGAAAGCATTATTTCCAGATCTTTCCAGATTGTTTAATAAACTACTTTATTCATGCATCTTTTTGTTTGATTCAGAAACAGGCTAGAAGTGGTGGGGTTTTCTTGTGGATGTCAGAACGGTCAAAGAATCACGCATGCACGGGCAAGATGCACTAGAATTATGTGTCATTTTGAACGCGTTCGATCAAACTGTTCAATATTGCATTGTTTGACGGTTCAAACATGATTTTCTTTACTTTGCTTTTGCTTCGCACATATCCATTATAGTATCAAGGCTCCAGCAACTGGACGCAACTCAGTAACTGACCCCTTCACACCGTAGAATAATGTAGAATCTCTTGGGCCACGTCCCAACAACTCACGGGGCAAATAGTCAGAAAACAAATGCACCTACACAACTCTCCAACACTAGGTATGAATAGTATGAATTATGACCCAAAATGATCCGCACAACTCATGAACTGCATCACAAAATTAAGTTTATCTCCAAATGCTTAACAACAACAGACTTAATTTACTCCATCATCATTTTAGTTCACGTGACCAGCTGGCCCTACCTGGATGGCGAAACCACTCAGAGGTCCGGAGCTGTGGTTGCTAAAAGTCATCATCAGGGTGGGCGTGCCTGTTGAAGCCGCCCGCGGCTTGGATGGCTTGGATGGCTTGGGGGATCCCATCAAAACTGATGAGAACAAAGCGATTCACCTACCACCAAGGTTTATCATTCAGATCTATCCTTTCAGGAAAGGCTGGCAATGCAAAATCCCCAATTGTAGATGATCTTGTTTCACCTCCAGGAAGATAGAAATGATAGAAACGTAAAGTCCTACTACAAGAGTGACCAGTTCCTTTTATATCATCCGGGCTGTTGTTATCTTCCAATCCATTGGATTTTCCCATGGCTGCCACGCTGGTCCGTGCCTCGCTGTCTGGCAAAAGCCGCTGACACTGCGAAGCCCTGCTGCCCGTGTTGCCCCGCTTGCCTTGGCAGAAATTCATATATAATATATGTGGATATATGTGGATATATAAATATATAGGACATTTATAAACTGCAATATATCTACATATATGAAATCCCTAGTCTTTGCTGGTGATATCCTTCATTTGTAGTCATTTTTCTCAGACCCACGCCCCATTTTCAAGTGGAACCTTCCCCCATTTTCAAGTGGAACCTTCTATCCTTGTTTCAAATGACACATTTGGGTGTGTTTGAACATGGGGGTTAATTACCCCTTATATATAGCAATTGGCAATTGCCATTGGCAAAAATCATATTTTTTACATTTTTTACATGTTGCCATAAACATCTCAATAAACAATAGTTCAATAGGCAATTGTCATAAAAGGGCCGTGTCATTGGCAATTGGCAATCGTCATTGGGACTAGTCGGAGCATTTGGGGTTCCATAGATCCGTTGCCAGTTGCCAGATCTCTAACTGCTCACAGGAGACACGCTGCTGACCAGTAGTTTGGGAAAGTGTAAAAAACATTATAATATATATATAATTAGATCAGGCTTTGTTAGGCTCCGTTGTTGAATAATAATATATATATATATATGTAAGTGTTGTATATACAGTGAATGTCTAAGCTGACTGGAAACCATATAATATGTTGAACCCCTTCATTTGTTGGCGAATATCTCTATTGTTTGGAAGATAAAGGAATAGGACCCATTTTCTTTACGTGTTTCAACCATCAGCTTTTTTTTTTTCTGATCCAAGCCCGATTCATTGCTGGTGGACCATTGTATTTTTTGTTGGCTCCACAACTTGGTGCTTCATCCTACTTAGTCTGTGTTTTTTTTTACCCCAGGTGTAAGTGGATTAACCCTACTTATCCACCTGAATTCACTGCGGTTATAACCTACTTAGTGGGGTGAGCCACCAAGTATGTTCAACACAACTATGGAAAATCACCATGTGTTTCTATGTTTAAAAAAAAAAAAAAAAACATTTCTATGGCCATGCTCAGTAGCAAACTGTTACTTTACAAGAGGGTAACCCATGATATCACTAATCATCATTGATACTGTAATCATGATTCACCACTATCATTGATTATCACTGTATATTATCCCTATTGGTCTACTATCATTCATTACACCACTATCATTGATTAAACATATGGACAATCACAATTTGTTTATCTGTACATTGTACATCAACTATAATCAACTATAAATGGGCCATTTTCAATAGCAAAGTGTGACATGACCAGAAGGTACCCTCTGGTAACCTAACATAACTATGGAAAATCACCATGTTTAATGGGAAAGCTCACTATGTCTATGGCCATTTTCAAGTTCGCAAACTGTTAGATTACCTGCAGAGGGTAATACCTCCATTTTCCTATGGTTTTCCTATGGTTTTCTATGGTTTTCCCATTAAAACCTCCATTTTCCTATGGTTTTCCTATGGTTTTCCCATGAAAACCTCCATTTTCCGGGAAAATGACCAGCTCAACTGCCATGGCACGTGGACGGCAGCACCTGCACCTTTTGCACCGAGGACACCGAAACACCACCGCGCTGCGAGGGCGAGTCGTCGCCCACGCCACCCAGGTCCAGTAAGTCCAGGCCGCCGCCTGGCTTTGAGAAGCCAGCTGCAAGGGGTTTTAACGGGACTTTAGTGGGATTTTTATGGGATTTTTATGTGATTTTTATGTGATTTTTATGGGATTTTTATGGGATTTTTATGGGATTTTGATGGGATTTTATAGAATTTTATGGGATGTTTATGGGATTTTATAGGATTTTTATGGGATTTTTACGAGATTTTATGGGATTTTTATGGGATTTTATGGGATATTTATGGGATTTTTTATGGGATTTTTATGGGATTTTTATGTGATTTTTATGTGATTTTTATGGGATTTTTATGAGATTTTTATGGGATTTTTATGGGATTTTTATGGGATTTTTATGGGATTTTTATGGGATTTTTATGGGATTTTTATTGGATTTTTATGGGATTTTATGGGATTTTATGGGATTTTTATTGTATTTTATGGAATTTTTATGGGATTTTATGGGATTTTTATGGAATTTTTATGGTATTTTTATGGTATTTTTATGGTATTTTTATTGTATTTTTATGGGATTTTTATGGAATTTTAATGGGATTTTAATGGGATTTTATAGAATTTTATGGGATTTTTATGGGATTTTTATGGGATTTTTATGGGATTTTTATGGGATTTTTATAGGATTTTAATGGGATTTTATAGAATTTTATGGGATTTTTATGAGATTTTTATGGGATATTTATGTGATTTTATGGGATTTTTATGGGATTTTATGTGATTTTTATGGGATTTTTATGAGATTTTATGGGATTTTTATGGGATTTTATGGGATTTTGATGGGATTTTTATTGTATTTTTATGGGATTTTTATGGAATTTTAATGGGATTTTTATGGGATTTTTATGGGATTTTATGGGATTTTTATGGGATTTTTATGAGATTTTATGGGATTTTTATGAGATTTTTATGAGATTGTATGGGATTTTTATGAGATTTTATGGGATTTTTATGAGTTTTTATGGGACTTCAATGAGATTTTATAGGACTTCAATGGGATTTTATGGGAATGAATAATGGGATTGAATGATGAGATTAGTGGGAAATAATGAATCTATGAAACTACATTTTATGGCCCTTAACACTTATAATTGGCATAAACCCCCATATCATTGAAGTGGTATGTAACCTTAGTTGCAAGAGTTATAATCATTTATAACTCTTAAGAGCGATAACTGTTGGGGATCAACCAGCAAGTTTTGTGATTGCTGGTTTGATTGGAGATATGCAATATATCTATGTAGTTTCAAACATGTTCAACTGGTCAAAATTAAATTGTAAGGAATGATCATATCAAAAGATATCAAAAGATATCAACAGTATCTCACATCCCCCAACTCACATAGATCCCTCTTTTTAAGCTGAAAACTGTCCTCTGTCTTCCAGTCCCAAACTCATGGCAGGGTCGATGTGTTACTTGCATACAGTATTGTATAGTAGTATATCGTGTGTTAGTTACAGCTGAATTTTTGCTAGCCAAATGTCCTACTTGTGAAATACGAATGCCATGTTGCAGATTCAATCCCGTTGTTGTTGCTCAATCTTCAATCTCCATCTATTGTTCCGTAATAAATAAAGAACAACTCGTGTTGCCCGCTTATTCAGTTCCATGGTTCCAGTCACCACCAACCAGTGATTATTAACCATCATTAACCATCATTATTAACCATGGTTCCGAACCACCAACCACTAATCCATGACATGCCCATGAAACCACCATTGAACCGTTAAATCCCCATGGAAAACCACCGGTCACATCCCCATCGCTGATGTTGAGCTGCTGGTTCCATTGCTTGCACCAGGACCACCTGAGGACACTGAAAAAACGGGGAGGTCCAGTTTGCAATAGAGAGAGAGAGAGAATGTCACACATATAATATGTATATATATATACATGAATTATTATATGTCATATACTAATATGTAATATACATATACATATATATATATATATAATATGTATAATTGTATATAAATGTATGCATATATGTATAACGTACTGTATAATACATGTAATATACAGATACCATCCCAATATCATCTCAGCAAATATTATTCCAATCTGATCTGAATTGGCCCATGAAACATGTTTTTTTTCTTAGATAAGAAACTTCATCACACAAAAACATATCAGGATATAGTTTGTTATATAATCCCATTGTATAACCCCATAAAATGGTTGCTCTCATTCCTGTTTTTTCTCGTTAATTCCCAGTGATGATGGAACATCTTAACATTTGATCGTTTAACCAGGGGGGTAGATCATGATTCCTCTTCACAGACTTTATCAATCCACGGTGGACATTATATCCAAATACTTAGTCTATTTTAAACTCCAAAGGAATTCCCTATATTCACCCGATTAATTCGGATCAAATCCCAATGAGATGTTTGAAGCCTGCTTTTCCCCACTACAATCTCCATTATCCCAGAAATCATATCTCATTCAACCGCCATTTCTGTCATGGACAACCCAGCATTAAACCATATTGATCCCCTAGTAAATTATCTATCAAGTCCCAATCTTTACTAAGGAGGTCAATTTCCATTCATTAGATCATCCCATACTATTCCCATAAACCACCATCAAACCGCACAATCCCCGGTTTCTGACATAGACGTTCACTAGCTTCACCCTAAAACCATCAAAAAAACGAAAAATCACCAGTTGAGCAACACAGGGGGTTCCAAAATTAGTGACATTTCATGATATGTTCCCTTGATACCATGGATAGTTACTTGGTTATCACCATGGATAGGATAAACCTATCACTTCAAAGATATTTCCCTTGATACCATGGATAGTTAGTCTAACTTTCCCCATAAACCACCAAAAACTTGTTGGTGGTTTCAACCTACGCCCCTGAAAAATGATGGACTTCGTCAGTTGGGATGATGACATTCCCAATATATGAATAAAATTCCATGGTTCCAAACCACCAACCAGTCAATGAAATGACCATTAAACCATTGACCCTTTAAATCCCAATGGAAAGTCAAAATTCCCATGGTTCCAGTCACCACCAACCAGATATATTGTTATTAACCATTATTAACCATTATTAACCATAGAGTAACCAATTATTAACCATAGATTCACCATAGATTCACCAGGGGAAATTCCCATGGTTCCAGTCACCACCAGGCAGCACTTTCCCCATGGAAATCTCCAGATCCCAGGCACGTTCCAACTCCTCCTGCACTTCCCGGCGTCGATCCGCCGCGCGGTTGCCATCGTCCTCCTCGTCGTCCTCTGCGCCACGCTCTTGACCCGAGGAGGTCAGGGTCAAACGAGTCACCTCAGATGGGATGGGTAGAACGGTAGAACTAACAAAGAATGGAGATTGATAGGGATTTCTATTGGTGATTTTTATAGGGATTTGTATGGTGATTTTTCTGAGGATTTGGTGATTTTTCTGGGAAATTTCTGAGGATTTCATGAACATTTGGCCATGAAGTACAAGGTGAGGCCCCCAAAAACCATAGGCTGAGCTAACCCTCACCTTGTAAGGGCCAGCTCTCTTCGGAAAATTCATCTAGACATGAGGATATGCTATGGGATATAATTATTATAACCAACACTTCTGGAGATATGATGGGAAAAAATGATAGTATAGCTAGTTGGTTATCACCTAGAAAAAATGATATGCCAGCTATGATAGTCACTATACATGATAACCAACAATTTTGTGGAGATACAATGCAATAAAACCAGCCATATGGCATCTTTAAAGAAATAACATGTCGATTTGATGGGCATTCTATGGACACTTATTGCTTTTGTGGTTTAATAGGGATTAACTGTATACGTAGTGAAACAAAAGGACAATTACATGGATTTCATGGGTTTTTTTATGTATTGTTTAAGGGGATTTTTTGATGCCGGGATTCCATAGGTTAATGGTGGCGGAAAATGGCCATATGAAAATAGTATGTGTTGGTCTTAACTGAAAATTCATCATTTTTTGGCTATTTCATGGGGATTGACCAACCTTAGTCAGTATACGCAATGAGATATACTGATATATAATGAAGTAACATGAAGTAACTATACACGTATCATGTATGCATCCATGATAGCAAACATCAAGAGCGAATGGCTGCATGCCCGGAATCTGAAAATAACGTTCTCAATTTACCAATGAAGTATAGTATTTCACCGAAAGTCTTGCGTTGCTTTATGGTGCTTTTACTTCGTCGTTTGGGTACTTCAAGACATAAACACGTACATCTGAATTGCAAAATCCGTTGCAATATATTGGCACAATTCCTACTCCAACCACCCTTTTCAATGACTCAAAGTCAGCGCGCTCAACTAGGTCCATGTTCAACCCCGGCCCCAAACCAAGGATTTAAAATCTTTACGTTCTAATTTCAAATTGATGTGTTTAGTAGGTTTAGGATTCCCCAAGGGTTTCACATGTTTTTTTTCACACAGCTCAACGGTGGGAAAACATGCTGCGGAGCACGGCGATTTTCTGCAGTCGTGTCACAAACTCGTCAGCATACTTGTGATACACCGAACCTGCCAACCGATGCCAGGGGTGTGCAGCTGGGATGAACAACATGGTAGGACCGTGGGATTTTTAACCCAAGTATGGTACATAAGATAATATCTACTTATATGTTATGGCTATGGTTCTTAATTCAATGACAATTGATCTGAGTTTAAGGTAAAATTGACCCCCCCCATATTTTATGGGAAATACCGTTGTTACCGATTGAGATTTTCTGTTAAACCAATGATTAGGTTAGTATTCCAGAAATGGTGAAACATCATCGTGGAAAAACATGGTTTGTACGTTTTCGTATGTGTTGTTGATGTTTATTTATTCTTGGGTTTAGAATTTTGGTTTGATTAGCATGGATCATACAGCTACCAACTTGGACTCAGTCAATGGCATGCCGGGTACAAGGTGAAATCTAATATTGGCGAATCATCCAGTAAAGACAAAAACTATATGGAAATTCATGTTTTTCCCAGAAACGACAAGCACATAAATCAATGGTGGATGTCAATAGCTATGTAAATTTTGATCCAGACGATGGAATCGATGGTATTCCCATGACCTATCCCGATGGTTCGCCACCATTTTTCTCGGCTCACAGGATGCCAAGGAACTCATCAAAGACAGCTCGGTGGACAGCTTCTCCAAGAGATTCCTAAAAGGATCTGGGGGGTTCCATCAATGGGGGCATGCCAATAGCTGGATGCTATATATATGGTGGAAAATCCGAAAAAGGATGATGAACAGGGGTGCCATGGATTGGAATGATTCAGATACACGTTGAAAAATGTTGAGACCACCAGCTGCAGTCCATCTAGTCCATAATATACCATCTGGTTGTTTAACATAGCCATGGGAAATCACCATTTTTAATAGGTAAACCCAGGTAAACCATCTATAAATGGGCCATTTTCCATGGCTATGTTAAATAACCAGAGGGTAGATCTTTTGTTTAACCGTAGGGCAATCCAACATGCCTTGCTGGAAAAACTAACCGAGCTGTTGGCCTGCCCAAAGACCTACAAATGAATATGAACTCGACATGGCAGTTAACATTACATCCAGACAATTCGATGCGTCTTTAAAGCGTTCAGTCTTTAAAGCGTTCATCTAGGAAATATGATTATATCCTGTTTGATCCAAGCTTACATAACAGAATATCAAACTTAATTTAGGTTACATATCTCATATTGTCTCATGATATGGGACACACACATCCACACTTATCTTATGTTTGATCAATATTTATCCTATATCCCATTGCATCCCATAAGATGTTATTTCCATATTGTTGATTATACCCTCTGGTAAACTAACATAGCTATTGAAAATGGCCATTTATAGTGGATTTTCCCATGAAAAAAATGTGATTTTCCATAGTTATGTTAGTTTACCAGAGGGCAATCTATATCCATCATTCTAACTATACGCTTGGTTGTATCCTCCCGTGGCCAGGTTTACCTGGCAACGGGAAAATCCTATGGAAAATCCACTGAAATTTATGGATGATGTTCCTATTATAAAGCCTCCATTTAGTTTGGGAAAATCCTACATTTATGGATGAAACAAACACTATTTATGCATGGTTTCCCATTTAGTTTGGGGCTTTTCGAATTTGGGACACCCCAAATTGCTGGCTGAGCGTCTTGTCAATGTATTGCGAATCATCGCGGATGGAAGGCTTGTCTCCCAGCACAACTCCTGCCAGCCACCCTTGTGAACAACGAAATAGTTTGGAAATGGCTGGAACAAATACGGCCGGTAAGGCCCCCTAGATAGCTAAGCTGAGGCCAACTAGGGTCTATGGTGGATACATAATGTGTTTTTTTGTTTTAACCAACTTACAACAGGGGGGCTCGCCTTGTATGGTGTAGGATCCTTCTACCGCCTTTGGAGATGGTTCATAGACTCCAAGATGGTGCAGTGATTTTGCCCATCCCCATGTATGTACCATTATCAAAGAGATGTGTCAAAAGAAGACCTAGAATCTAGAAGTTGGACATACGCAAAAAAACTACAGCTAAATGTAAGCGAGATTTGCCAAATGTCTTCCTGGCTTTGATTCCTGGCCATGTAACTATACAGGACCATGTTGATCATGTTGCACCTAGGGGAAATCTACGGCCATGTCGGAGAATTTCTTTCTTCAAGCGGCTTGGAAACCAGGAAAAATAATCCCCCCACCATGGCATTTTCAATACGGATAGTGAATAATGGTCATTCACTGGTGAATTTAGGGGTTTTCCAAATTCAAACAACCCCAACTAGTTCCAAAATCAGAACAGTATCTGGTTGGTGGTTTTAACCATCTTGAAAAATATGAGTTCGTCAATGGGGTTGGGATTATCCATTCATATTATGGAAAAAAATAATGTTCCAGTCACCACCAACCAGGTATCCTTGGATTCCTTGGATTGGCTTAAGGAACCCCCCAAAAAATATATTCCCTTTTTGGATTTCCCACTGGGAAATTCGCAAATCATCACGTTGCATCCGTGAGGTTTTTGAGGTTTTTGAGGGCTGCATCGGAATTATCCAAAAAATAGCGCCAAGAACGCATATACAGTATGTATTAAATGTATTAATCAATACTATACAATTATGTATATATATATATATGTAATATATATAATTACATACATCAAACACAAGATCTCAGATCTGCGTTGTGTCTCAACCTTCGCTTTACAAACAAACAAGGCAGGTTTGGCAGCACCTGCAGGCCCCCACGAACCAGGCATTCGCCAAGAGACTCTTTGTAGCCTCTGGATTCGTGGCCAGCAAGCGCCAGTAGATGTATCCTGCATCATTGGGTGTCTGTCAACCGAGTCGCCAAAATCGGCTTCATCATCCCAGCTGGATCTGAACAGAATCCACGAATTGTTGGACACATATCCTGCTGATATGTTTTGATAGGATGAGTGATGACGAGTAGATTGAACTACCCCAACATGTCAGAATGGATGAATCTAACAGATTTAGACGGACTGTTTTGTCTGTGAAGACTCGCTCTTCTTCGCTTCCATCCGGAAGAGCATCCAAAAAAACCATGGGCCCAAGATGTGGCATTACATAAACACATGTTTAATATCCGTTAATATCTGGGATACCACCCCCCTTTTTAAAAAGGGTGGTCTACCTCCATTTGTCGCTATCTACGCCCATCCCCCTGATCTAATTCCAGCCCCATGGTGGATGATCCCAGTCATATGTGGATGAAACCTCCCACGTCACCATCCCAGCCATGATGGTTTTCCAATTGAATATAACATATGGATATATATATATGGGGGGTTCTCAACATGGTGGATCCCCAAGTCACCATAGGTTTCACTACTAAAATAGCCTACCTTGGGATGATTTGGGGGTACCCTATGATAACCAGGTCCTCGGTCGCGCAAGTCGTGGTTGGTGGACTCTTCGGTGGCACATTGAAGCACTTTGGAGACCATGTCCTGGCCCAGGAGACCCACAGTTGTGGCCCGAAATACCATGCAGTTATAATAGTTATATATAAATAGCTATAGAAAACCCCATTTATAGAATGTATAATCCCATTTATAACCAGGTATAACTAATAAATGGCCATAACTACATCGACCCGTGTAGAATCCATGGCTCTGTGAGTTGAAAGCCTGAAAAACCGTTAAATGATTGTTTCTGAAGTCCTGTGCCAATGATGGCTAAATACTGGAACAAGCCTGCGGATACCTTAAGGCCAATGATGGGCCCTCTTTGTTTCAAGTAGAATTTTGTGAACATGGATTGCTGGTGGGCTAGTTTACACAAAACCCAAGTCAATTTGAAACCAATCAAGTATGTATATTATCGGAATTGCCCATGATGTTCGGTCAGTAGATACCAATTTGTAGAAAGAAACAAGTTCAAACAAACAATACCCGTTTTTGAAGTCCTTCTTCAATGCTCATTGACTGTTTCCATATTTATAAAAACCTCAATGGCTCGCCAGTTTTTGGAGAATCCGAGAGCAATTCCCAGAACATTCCAGTGAAGTCGTTGATTTTTTCCAGAAAACATTTACCCTCTGGTAAACTAACATAGCTATTGAAAATGGCCATTTATAGTGGATTTTCCCATGAAAATGGTGATTTTCCATTGCTATGTTAGTTTACCAGAGGGTATGTTCAAATTCAGGATGTGATAAGTATATAGAGAAACAAATCCTGGTTTCTACATAGTTGTCCCGTGAAAAAAAAATCATTTATATCCATGTATGATCATGTAGTTGGAACGGAACATCATTCTGAAAAAAAAATCTGGAGGAAAATATGGTTTGTTCAAGCTGTTTTGCCATCATTTTTTGTTCGGGTTGTTTTTGTTCAGCCACAAAAATGATGACCGATGGTAGTACCATTGGACCATGCTCTCCTGTGTGCTGGAAGGCTTCTGCAAGAAAAGTTTCACCTGGAACATGGGGTTCCAACAGATCGCAGAACCAGCTGCGGTTTTCTTGGGGATTTTCCATGGGGTTTTTGTCACATAGCTTGAGTGGGGGATATTCCATGGGAAAATCGACTCAAGATTTTTCATGGGAATAGCTATACAATGCTTTTTGAGCGGGAGAATCCACGATCAATGGAGATATGATGGGATCTTAAATGATTTGCCATCCGGTGATTTAAGCTGCTACATATTGGAACGATGGGGGAAACTTGGATTTTTAATGGAGATACGATACAAGGGGAAAAACATCTATAAATTGAGATTTAAGGAGATTTAAATGATTTAATCGGAGAAATAAATATCATCTGATTATTAGCTATATGTTCAAGCTCTGGTATAGATGGCCTATTGAAATATACGTTTTATAATGATTTTCCTAAATTACTAGAGGGTAGATAGCAAGTCGAAACGATTTAACAATACTTCACCGCTATCTAAACAGATGTTTCATGCTTTACTATTCTATCTTTTAGGGGTTACCAGCATGTGTATATGCAGTATAGCCTAAAACGATTGGGGAATCCAACGCATTTCAGAGTTCAGTCGGAATCTACGAAAATCAGGCAGGTACAGGTACTCCTATATACCTTGCAGTCATGCTAATCTACACCTGGCAGTTATGGCCTTTATCGGTTCTACATGGGATTATATAACTCCTATAACTGAGGTTCTTATATATATATAATATATATAATATAATATATATATACATCATTATAATCATCCCATATTTCTAACTGTATATCGGGCTATAACTGGGAGGAAGATGTTCCGCTTCGTTCCGTTGAAGCATCGCTTCGTTCCGAGGGACAATGGCTGTTAGCAACTGCATCTGAACCAACAGAGGCTCATCATGGAAGGTATCCTGGACGATTGTTGGCGCTGGTGCTGGCTAATATGGGATTATATGGTTATACCCTCTGGAAAACATACAAATAGCTATTGAACATGGCCATTGAAATGGGGACTTCATATTAGAATAATATTACTCATAGTAACTAGTTATAATACCCATATGCGAACCATGGTGCTGGAATATGAATCCCAACATTTACCCCATAAATGACCCAGTTTTGTAGGTAAATATACCAGCACCATGGAGCATATGGGAATGGGGGTACCCAATAGTTATGGATCGTTTATCATGGAAATTCCCAATCTAAAATGGATGGTATACCATGGTATACCCATTTTAGGAAACCTCCAAATATGGAATAGATGGATTATATCATGTCCATGGATGAGCCCTGACATGCCCGAGGGTGCATAACTTGAGGTTTGCCCTTATTGAAAGAACCGATTGGACCAAGTAGAAAGGATGCTTCTACAACTCCAAAAACAAAAAAAACACCCGACATGAGGATGTAAGGTACGGATGGTTCACCTGAAACGACTCCACATCAACTGATGGGACTTTTTGCTTTATGACATGGGTGTAGACTCTCTAGGCGTACGTGATCTCATATTGGACTCTGGAGCTGTCACCACCCTGGTGTGGAGTGCCCCAGGTCACCACGGTTCCATCCGCCGAAATGGCAGCAAAAGCGCCGAATGTGCCACAAATCTGCTGCACATTCTTGAGCTGATGTTGGACTCTGGAGCTGTCACCACCAAAGCCGGGACCGCCCCAGGTCACCACGGTTCCATCCGCCGAAATGGCAGCAAAAGCGCCGAATGTGCCACAAATCTGCTGCACATTCTTGAGCTGATCTTGGACTCTGGAGCTGTCACCACCCTGGTGTGGATCGCCCCAGGTCACGACGCTTCCATCTTCCAAGATTGCAGCAAAAGCACCGTCTGTGGCAAAAATCTGCTGGACATTCTGGAGCTGATGTTGGACTCTGGAGCTGTCACCACCATTGTCTGGATCGCCCCACGTCACTACGGTTCCATCTGCCAAAATGGCAGCAAAAGCGTCGAATGTGGCACAAATCTGCTGAACATTCTTGAGCTGATCTTGGACTCTGGAGCTGTCACCACCCTGGTGTGGCTTGCCCCAGGTCATGACGCTTCCATCTTCCAAGATTGCAGCAAAAGCATAGGCTGTGCCACAAATGTGCTGCACATTCTTGAGCTGATCTTGGACTCTGGAGCTGTCACCACCCTGGTGTGGATTGCCCCAGGTCACGACGCTTCCATCTGCCAAAATGGCAGCAAAAGCGTCGAATGTGGCACAAATCTGCTGAACATTCTTGAGCTGATCTTGGACTCTGGAGCTGTCACCACCCTGGTGTGGATTGCCCCAGGTCACGACGCTTCCATCTTCCAACATTGCAGCAAAAGCATAGGCTGCGCCACAAATGTGCTGGACATTCCTGAGCTGATGTTGGACTCTGGAGCTGTCACCACCCTGGCGTGGATCGCCCCAGGTCACCACGGTTCCATCCGCCGAAATGGCAGCAAAAGCGCCGAATGTGCCACAAATCTGCTTCACATTCTTGAGCTGGTCTTGGACTCTGGAGCTGTCACCACCAAAGCCGGGATCGCCCCATGTGACAATTCTAGGACCTCCAACACACCACAAAGCAAACGCTCTGCTATTTGCAGCTATCTTTGGCTGCTGTGCAATAGCAGCAATGCTGTCTCCATCTTGAAGCCCAGAAAGTTGAAGAGATTCTGTTGGATCCAAAAGACGGCCCTCAGCTTCAGCAAGTCTCAGGAAACGTTGCCCCAACAACCGTTGAGCAGCTATCTTCAAGTCAGTAACGTCGCCATGCTGCCAGACGGCAACAGTTTCACACCGTCCACTTGGCAAAAACACTTCAAGTTTGATGGAACGCCACCTGGCAGCTGATGGGCCCTCCATGGCGCTGCAAAGGTGTAGGTGAAAAGATGGATTTTTTGTCGTTTTCCCAGTTGCATGGATCCATCCAATACTGGTTGGTGGTTTCAACCCATCTGAAAAATATTAGTCAATGGGAAGGATTGTCCCATATATTATGGAAATAAAACATGATTGAAATCACCAACCAGAATATCATCTGAGAAAAATATGAATCCAGCTTAAATGGCGAAACAGCTCTGCAAGCAATGTAAGCAATGCTGCTGACTCTTGGCACATTGGGTGATCAGAATTTGCCGCAATGATGGTTTCAATCACTTCGAGCCGCCATAAACCACCAGAAACTTGGAATGCTAAAGACATATCAACCCAAAAAAAACATAAACATGATTAAACATGATGATGACTACGGGATGGTGTATTGTTGGCTTTACCACATTATTGAGTTTTTGGGGATTATCCTTCCTTGTGGATACTCTTTTGGGCAATTTGAACCATCTTTTTGTCCAGACGTGTCCACATATGTACCATATGTTAGCGGTGGTGTCTTCAACATACTCTACCCAAGACATGGGTCATTAAATGTCCCCATTGAACATCACCCAACCATTAGGTATATGGTCTATAATGGCTACTATAAGGTGATGTCCAATATACCCAAAATGGGACACTTACCAACCCCTGCAAGACGCACATCATTTTTTTGAGGGACATCATTTGCAGGTTCCATGGAGTCAGGACACCCATCCAACATATCCGAATCCAAATGAATGAACATCTACCCTCTGGTAATGTCAAAATAGCTATTGAACATGGCCATAGACATAGTGGATTTTCCCATTCAAAATGGTGATTTTCCATAGCTATGTTAAATTACCAGAGGGTAAATACAAAAAAACAAAAACACATTCAAATCCGAACGAAATCATCCCCATATCGTTTTACGTCAGTATAACCATCCCCATTCATACATGGAAAACAAAAAACAAGCCTGCGAATCATTATTTGATTATGATTTACTATAAACAATCTATGAATGGGGATGACTAAAACTATAATGGCGTTTAACAGGATTTAATGGGATGTATTCCCATTGACACATGTCTTTCTTGATATATCTGGGAAATACGCCTTGGTAAATTCTAGTGGTTTGCTGTATTAACTGAGGATCAATAAAATCCTGCACTCGTTGGCCTATGAAATACTGGAAATAATGGAATTATATGGAATTACCCTCTAATTATTTAACATAGCTATGGAAAATGACCCATTTATAGATGATGTACCTATGACAGGGAACTTTTTCCATGGCTATGTTAAATAACCAAAGGGCACATGGAATTATGATGGAATTATGATGGGATAAGCAATCTACCAACTGGTGCCTGCGATGGAATGTCCATCCACAGAAAGTCTGTATGTGTTTTGCCACGTTGACCCTGGAGAGGAAAAAGTTTATGATCCACCCTGAAAATCATCTATAAATGCCAACTATATTTATCATATTTCCCCATCATATTTATATATTCATATTTATCATCTATAAATGCCTCCAACTATAGGAAATATCACCATTCATCATCTATAAATGATGGCATTTCTCAATATCTTTGTCGCACCACGATCCGATCTCCGTGCCGATCTCCGTGCCCAGCTTCCAGGAAGGACTCAAGTAACTCATCGGCATTATCGATGCGTCCCGCCTCGATCAGCACAATAAGAACCGTTGGTTTTTTGAAACCCATCGAACTATACTTACTATAGTTGGAACTAGAAATCCTATAGTTGGTGATATAGTTATTATCAATTATACTATTATATTACCATATACAATACTATATTACTTGTCTAAAATCGGTGATGGAACTAAGCTGGTGATGGAACTATAGTTCGATGGATAGTTCCAACTATAACCAGCTATAGTAAATCAAAAAAAAACTATTAAAATAGGATGTTCTAGGACTATAGTTCAAACTAGAAATCCTATTAAAATCCTATAGTTGGTGATACTTCGAAATAGGATATGATCGCACAAACATCCCAGTCACAAACCTACTTAGCTATCGGCTATCGGGCGAGAGTAATGAACATCATCAGGTTCAATTGTTGGACATAATGAAACTATATGAAACTAATATATGGGTATGGATCAATACCTATTAACACCATTTTTATTGGGATGAACATCCATTTACCAGCTATTTTGATGTTCACCAGGGGTACAAGGTTTTGACACACTGCCATATTTGCATGCGGATGTTTGTGGAAAGAATGATATATTGAATAATAATATGTTTTGTCTTTAATTATGGGATATAATCTGGTTGGTGGTTTCAATCCCTCTGAAAAATATGAGTTCGTCAGTTGGGATGATGACATTCCCAATATGATGGGAAAAATGAAATTCATGTTCCAAACCACCAACCAGTAATAGTATATCATGGAGATATTTTTAAAACATGACTATGAAACCAGCGGGCTGGAGATATCTTTGCCAGATCCAAAGGGATGATACAGATACAGAATAGCCCAAAATCATGGAGCTTTCTACTGGGAAAATGATCGAACGACTTAAAAAGGGGATTTAATGGGATTATAATGGGATATAGCCTTATAGCCTCCAGTTATTTGTTACATAGCTATGGCAAGTTGTATTTTTTGTTAGATGATTTATGATGCGTTTTTTTACCTTGTAAACATGGTGATGTTCCAAAGCTACGTGAAAAATAATCAGAGGCTAATTAGAGACATCATTTTTGTTTCTGCAGATGAAACGTTGAATTTGGGTAAATTTAGGAGGTAGAATGGATAAGTGTCAGGGAAACTGCATAGGAATCAATATGGATGTACCCATGACCAATTCTGTATATATATATGTAGTGTGTATATATAGTATATGTTGTATATAGTGTATGTATATTATAGTTTATGTAAATATGTGTATATATATATAGTATGATTATCATTATTAGCTATTATTACTCTCTCTATCTATATATATATATATATACATATTCATTTATCCAATTGTGTGTGTATTGATTAATTCACCCATTTTTCTAAGTACTTGGAGAGTCTAGGCATGCAGCTCTAAGTCGACGACAAGGAATCTCTTAGATTCTGATTCTCTACATCCAGTAGAGCCCCAAAAAAAAACAAAAATGGTGATTTAACCAAGAACAAATGGGATTTAATCTAGAAACATGGTGACTTATAGTCACTTGATCTATAATAGGTAAGTCGGTGAACATAACTTCGACAACTATGGTCTATGGCAAGTATAACTGTAGTGAATTGGGTTTCATAGTTAGTTGGGGGCCGCCTTGTAGTAAAAATCACAATCATGATGGCAAAAGATGAAGTTGTACTATTCACTGCCCAACTTACGAGCCGATGGGTTTACTCACTTCTGTCAGCTATCTCGCCATTTTTCTTAGCGCTTGAATCCTTAAATCTGTTGGTAAATACCCCACTTAGATAATCTATCACACCATCCATATAAATCAGCAATATTGATAATATCTATGACTTAAACAATCTATAACTATGGGGATATTATCTAAGTGACAATATTATCTATATAATTAAGTGATATTATAATCTATGGGGAGTGAACTGGCTTGTGAAATCTATGACTTAGATGGGCCATGGCTTCACCATGGCTAGCCCTGTGAGTCTGTCATAACCAGATGCCATGTTTTTCAAGCAATCAATGGATTGGGGTTGGAAAATTTTAACCGGAAAAGCCCATATTTTGATGGGAAAATCTAGATGGTTTCCTGTAAAAAAAATCCCTTAAACCAATCCATTGAACCAAAAGAAACCAAAAAAGGCAGCCTTTTCTGTTCCCCGCATGCCACCAGATTGCCACCAGGACATCCAGGATCCATCCAAGTGGCGTATTCTCCTAGGATCCAAATCATGGAGGCTTTGGCTTCGGGTTCGTCCAAGGCTTCCATGGATTCGCACAAGGCGCTCAGCACCTGCTCGTATCTGGAAGGATACCTGGGTAGCCACGGGGAGAGCGTGAAGTCCGGAGGCTCCGGTGGTTCCAAAAAAGGGCGGGATGTGGATTTAAGATGGAGAATAAGATGGATAAACGTATATAAATGGTGATGTTTCATGGATTTAAAACTGGATTGACATGGATTTCATATGATCTTTCATGGAATCTAGATCTCTATAACAAAACCAGCTGATTCTGAGGTCCTCCAGCCGTGGATCCGAGGGACAAGCTGCTCCATCCGGTACCACCGAAAATGGGGAAACTGTTGAGCCAATGCCAGATAGATATACATTGCAAACCAAATCCATGAAAATTCTATTGTTATAGAGAAGATCAAGAGAAGCGCTTTCGGCGGAAGACCTTTGACCAAACAAGGTGCGATCCGACACACTGCTATTGTGGTTATATGTTACAAGCTCTTAATGTCTTATATAATGTGACCCAAAGATAAATAGATTCCACTTTGCAACAAGCTTTCTGGGGAGCGCTTATTGTTGGGAATGGATTACTCCGATGAGTATCCAGATCCAGAAAACCAGGAATTTTATGGGGTAGACTTCAAATTTCCGGCAAATATCAATAGCAAGGTACTTTCGGAAAATGTCCTTCACGACAACGCAAGACTCCTCGCACTGTGAACATCCACTCCGTATAGCTGCAAAGCTGCTTAGCTTGTTCACTATGAAAAGAGCTACTCAACTTACTCAGTGTATCTGAGTGTCCAGTTTCCATGTTGCGGAACTGTTGCTTAACTCAGCCACCAACAAATGAACTCTTCAAACAACACAGTATCAAGTCCAAGTCGAAGAGTTGGAGTGACCATTAGTTGGGATGCTCAAATTGAACACATGTATTCCCAGAAAAAAAATCCACGCATCCCAACTGCAGCTGCACCACAGAGTGAAAAAACGAACTCTGAATATTGTAAGGTATAAGGGGTCTTACTTATATATGTATATGAATGTGTATATATATACATACTAGAAAACCATTATTACCCTAAAATCATCTGCAATATGTTCAGACAAACCTATCAGCATCGACTGTATCTTAAATTTAAACGCCAAAACCGCTGGCGCCCTGGACATATTTGAAACAACTATCTATGATACCTTTTAAAAATAGTGTATAATATGTATATATGTATATATATACATAAATATATTGTTTCGTAAAAATGTATCCATATATATATATATATGTACATATATATATATAATTATATATATATATATACACTATTATACATGTAGAATCAGGTTGATCCCAGTTGTTCCTAAGTCCTAGTTCAACCAAAAAAACAAAACTGGAAAACTGTATATATATACACACGTATAAATATATATATAACATAGAAATATAGATGCATAGACCACAACATCAACAAACATACATATTTTGACCCTTCCAAGTAGCTAGAACACATAGGCAAAGTAAACACGAGTAAATATAATTATGGGTATAATCAACATCTGAACTATATACATTTATATCATTTATGATAATGGCTATATCACCAAACCATCACCAACATAGCCCTTCTTAACAACAATAACTTATGGGTATATTAATGACCAACATAGCGGCTTTAGGGCACTCAACTATATGAACATGTATGATAATTATGGCACTAAACTATTATATATATATACATATGAGTATGATATATATATATATACATGACAGTGATCCATGGGTATATTACCAACACAAAATTCCTTTTTTTGGGGGCTTTTCAATCCACTCATCTCTGGTCCTGCACCACATAGTTCCATCACCTACAGGAACTACATATACTATATCCATTTATATCATCATTGATGAATATTTGTGATAATGATTGATCATGGGTATATTATGGTATATTCATGACCAACACAACATTCAGGGCTTTTTGGGGCTTTTAGGGCGGCACCAAAATTGGTCATCGGTTCTCTGGTCCTGCACCACATAGTGAAAAATCAACTACATGAACTACATATACTATATCCATTGATTTATACTATATCCATTTATATAATCATTGATTATATATATATGTACCTTTCGGTCATCGCTCCTGCACCACATAGTTCACCTTGGTCTCGATAAGTTCCAGCAAGACATTCATGGCGCGCTCGCAGGCGCGTTCCAGCTTCACCGCCACGCGGCCGATGGAGCGCACGGACTTGCGCACGAACTCCACGTCCACACCCGAGGCGTACCTGGGCGGTTTTTGGGCCAAAGGGAGAAATGGAGGCGAACTGAACGGTTTGAAGTGGAGAATATATGGGAAAATAGGGTTTGAAGATGTTTTAAGATGTTGAAAGTGATGATCTATTTACAAAAATACTGAACACACTGTTGAACACTGTTCTTTTGGTAGGGAAACAAAGAGAACAAATATGAATTCATGGGAATACAAATTTAAAAAACAGATGGTTGTGAGTCAAAACCCTGGCACCCGGATGGTACCTAAAATAGCTGGTTAATGGATGTTGATTCTTCCAAATATGGTAAAGGTTTTGACCCATCCCCAGATGGGAACAACAATTTTTCACAAAACACAAAATTCCACGACGTTTTCGTGACCGGGCCACTCTTTGAGTTCAAGGAGAACTTGGTCAAAGTTTTTGTCGCTGACCAGCATGCACATGATGTCGACCTTCTCCAGTTTCACCTTGGTGAAAGTGGTGAAAAACTGGGTCAACTTTGCAAGCCCAAGTTGCAAGGATTTACCTTCTGGTTATTTAACATAGCCATGGGAAATGGCCCATAGAAATAGATGGTATACCGTTCTTAAAAATGGTGATTTTCCATGGCTATGTTAAATAACCAGATGGTAGCATGGAAATCATCCATTTATTTATATAGATGATAACTCTACTAATGTTCCCCAATTAATGTGGATTTCTGAAGAGCCAGGTTTTTCGGATGTCCGCTATAGCATGTATGTTTAGACTCAAGTCTTCATTTGTTCAGTATTCCTCAAGGATATCACAGATTTTCGCAGTTCCATTGCCTAATGATGGCAAGCCGCAAGCCTCAAACATGTTCATCAACCCACAGCAAAACAAAAACATTGCAGAGTTCCAGTTCGGAAGGCAATTTGTGTTCATATATATATATATATATAGAGATATGTATACATTATGTATATATATATATTATACTATTATATTATATACTAGAATTATACTATATATATATGTATCATGTATTTTCACTATCATTATATGCTCAAAGAATGGCCCCAATTCTAGTAGCTATGATAATATACACAATTTCACCATGGATTACGTCTATAGTGGCCAGTTAGCCAGTTGGCGATGTTTTGGGTCAGGCATTCTGCTTAGTAACTGGACAACTACCAAATAAAACAAGCCAGTTATGAGATATATATATATATATATCCCAGAACCTTGACTTCAACTTCTATCTTGGTATCATATACCCTACCCACCGTTAAATCCCATGGCTTTCTTTAAAGGACCACCGTGATCACCACTCAACGACAGAAGCATCCGCATCCGGGCGGCGTAGATGGGGTCGTTGTATTTGCAGAAGAACATCTTCACGTCCGAGGCCAAGATCCCCGGGCGTCGCTGCACGATCAAGCGGATGTTGCCTCGGCAAGGCTGGTGGCAAGAGCAGGGACGGCAGGGATGGGGGGAAAGGACGGCAGGGATGGGATCCTGTAATATAAATAAATAAACTAATATAACATCATATAGCCTTTTTAGGGATCCAAAGACTGTCTGAGAAGGTACGGCTGACCCCCCTGAATCATACCGCCAGTACTTCCTAAGAAGGCACTTGGATCGATAGGGATATATATATATATATGTAACTATATATATATATATCTAATTATATATATATATTAAATGTCTATAAATAATGGTACATATGTACAATGTACATATGTATTATGTATGTTACATGTCTGTACAAGTGTACTATATATCATATATCTAATTATCAATGTGGGACGTGAACAATGAAGCAAGAATGGGAGTGGCTCTGATACCCACCACTTGGATCAATTGGAGAGTGTTTTAGCCGCATTCCTTGCCTTTTTTTGCCAGTGAGATCCTCAGTTTTTGCTGCAAAGTCCACAGTTCGTCGGAGAAATCGATAGTTTTCTGGGTGAAATCATCTACGTGAACTCCTGTTGCTTCAGTTCCCCAACATTTCCTGGTTGGTGGTTGACCTACCCCTCTGAAAAATGATGGAGTTCGTCAGTTGGGATGATTATTCCATTCCCAATCTGATGGAAAGTCATAAAAGTCCATGGTTCCAAACCACCAACCAGTATTAACTATTATTAACCATCATTACCCCATACATTCCACCAATGTTCCAAACAGGGGGTGAAATTTTGAGGTGCTGGCGAAATCATCCAACATCCCAGGCACGTAGCGCCACGTACTGCACCTCGGGCTCGCTACTCAGCAGAGTCACCTGAGTTTCGAGATGAGGGGGATGGAATGATGGAACCTCCCAGAATGGAAGATTTCGTTGACGAAACCTGTGGAAAATCAGGTACGGTAATAATCAAATGACATAAAATCTACCAACGAATATCATCAGATGAAGTTCTACACAGTTATGATTTGCCACTGCTCCTCCCAGATTTGGTTTAAGTGAAAATCTACAGGAAACTCTGGACATATTCCGGACATCATAAATGACATCATTTGGGGTAGAGTCCATCCAGTTTCCAGTTAAGCTTTTACCAGTCCAAATTGTTTGGATGTCTGTTGCTTTAAATATCTTTAAAACATATCCAACAAAACCTGCAGATATAGCCCTAGTTGCAAGTGGCTTATAACTTATAACCTCATTTAAGTATTATGTATGCTTAGTCGCAGGAGTTATAATCTCATTTGTCACTGTTATAAAAGAGCCATAAGTGTAAGATTACTTAAGATTACCCTAATTTGTTTCTCATGAAAAAAAACACATCCGTTGTCCCGTTGCGCGTTGCGGGGACCGCGCAGCTGCGCAGCTCAGTCACTAGGGGCGGATTCAGCTTTTTGGCCAACATCCGTAGCACCTCTGGGTTCTCCTGAGGATGGCGCCGTTGGTGATGTTTCTTGGTGTATGAAACCCCCCGTTGAACTAGTTTGTTATACCATAAAGCATCATAAAACATCATAAAACATTGTTGAGCCACTAAAAAAAGGCAGGGGATGTGATCCAATCATTACTAACTACGGTAACTAACCGGTTAACTATGGAAAATCATGGAAAATCCCCTTTATCAATCTTTATAATGGGTAAATCAACTGTTTCAATGGCCACTTTCAAAGGCAAACTGTTAGACTACCAGAGGGTACAAATAGTTTTGGTTTAATGTGGGTAAAAACAATGCCATAAACCACCCATGACTGGGAATAGTTTATATCACCTATTGATTGCGATTTGGGGGATTGTTTATTTATATTGTTTTACAGTACACACATTGCACTCTATACGAAGAATAGATAATAGTTGATAATGAATCCCGTCCCCTCAGTTTCTACATCCTCAAATGCTCTCTTAGTGATAGTAGCATCAAAACTCAAAGCCACAAAATGCTGTGTCTCCCTAGTGAATGTGACTTCCGTCAGCTGTCAACCACAAGGCAAACAGTATGCGGTCTCGACGTGATGGGTCTCACACATCCCGAAAAAATCATCTTATACCCTCTGGTAAACTAACATAGCTATTGAACATGGCCATAGACATAGTGGATTTACCCATAAAAAAATGATGATTTTTCATAGCTATGTCTTGTCTGCACACTGTCCCATCACTGGGTTTCTACTCTAACTTACCCATAATATCGGATCCATGTTCAGCCCCAAAGCGAGTGGATTGACATCGAAACCGTTTTCGGCAGACAGGGGCCCCAGGGAGATTATCGATTTTCCCCTAAAAACCATACTGGTTGGTGGTTGACCTACCCCTCTGAAAAATATGAGTTCGTCAGTTGGGATGATGACTATTCCCAACTGAATGGGAAAATAATAAACATATTCCAGTCACCACCAATCAGCTAATCGGTCCAGACTTGGAATCCGCGTCCAACAAAAAATCGGCCCAGTCTCTGTGTGCTCCATGCACTTCAAGATGACCTCATTGGAAACACACAGATGCCAGTGATATGGATCAACCAGCTGGTACCTCCATCTCCGTCGTCACACCAAACATGGTACCCCCCAGTTTTGCTTGTTGATGTTACCCATCAAACTATAGATTTGTTCACCATAAATCCAAATGTTGGCCTAGCTGTACAGCACCTCAGCCAAGTATGGGACACTACATTTCTGGAAATGATATGAACAAATCCCCCTCTTCAAAGGCTGGACAAGTTAAACTATCCAATTTAAAGTGGTAAACCCAATAATAAACCATCCCCAAGTCATCACCATTTTACCATCCCAAGTCATGGTAGGTGTATGGCATTGGGGTTGCCCCACATTCATCTAATTTCACCCATGCAATGATCATGTCATGATTGTTTTCCAGCTCTCTGGTGATTACAAACACACGATGTTTGTTGGCTGATTGATCCAATCACATAGTTCTTTGTTGATGTGTTGATGTAATCATTATCTTTTGTGTTCATTTAACACTATGTTCAACAGTTGAATATATACATATATATATATATACACATAATTATATGGTTGGTTCGTTCACAATATTTGCTGCTCCATGTTCCCATAGAAATCCCCTAAATCAATCAACCTGAGATATATATGACACATATTATTTATAGCTAATAAAGATAGAACGTGGGATTTTCAAACATCTTCTCCTTAGGGTGAGTCTTTTTTGGAGAAATCCATATTCTATCTACTCCAGGGTGACTATATGTGTGGAATTATACATATATAAAGCTAAATTATGTTGTATTATAATATTATAAACCCACCCTTTACTAGTCCCCAAACCATTGGCACCCATTCTCCATCATTGTTGGTTAAGTTGTATATCCCATTAACTATATTCCTTTACATCCCCATTAACTCACCATTTAGTCCCATTAAATCCCCATAAAAACAATTAAATCCAATTAAAGTTGAATCCAAAAAAACAGTAACAATTCCAATAACATCCATCAAATCCCATTAAATACTCATCATCTATACCAATTTGTTCTCCCATAAAATCCTCCGTTGACATCCCACGAAACTGCCATGAAATTCCCATCGCGCCTTGATGGCGGTCAACACCACCGCCGGGTTGGCGTGCGACAGCCGCGCGGTCACACGCTCGCTGATGCTCTCCGCATCGTTGGGGCCGGTGGGTTCATAGGTGGCCAAGGCGTCCTGATTTTTCTCTACAATGTGGGGCCCCCAAGATAGCTAAGTTGGTTTACATAACTCCAATAACTATGGTTTATGGTAGTTATAACTATAGTTAATGGGGCTTATAAACCAACTTATAACTGGGGGGGCTCACATTGTAGGGTAAACCTCAAATCCATTGGAAAATCGAAAAGTTTACAATGTGGGGATGTCCTGGGATAAAACAAATATCATGGAATTTCATGGCGGCAGAACAGATGATACAAGTTCTGTTGATGCTTATCTCTTTAACATAGAATAGGACCCCTAAAAAAGATAGAAACAGCTCAACGTATCCCATTTCGTAGGATTTTGCTTACCCTCCAGTAAACTAACATAGCTAATTATTGAACATGGCCCAATGGTAGTCTACCTACAAAAAGCAATGATTTCCACAGCTATGTTGGTTTACCAGGTGGTAATTCGTTTACCAGTCTGCCCAGTCATCAGCCAGCACCCCGCCAGGCAACCAGAATGAAGACCTGGCCCCACTCGTTGCACTCATTCAAGGCTGCCTCGGTCATGGGCGGCTGATGAATCAGTGGCCGTCCCCTTAAAACCCAGTTAAGGTACTAGGGGTTACAAGCCAGTTATTAATCTATCATCGTTTAACCATGGATAACCGGGTTAGAATTAACCTTCATGGTTCACAACTAGCGTGGCCTTTCAGTGGAATTTGTCAATGGCCAGGCGCAGCTTGGTGAGCGTCCGACCTCGCTTTGCCTCGGTTTTTGCAACACTTTGCCGTTGTGAACCTCTTCGCAAGCGCAATCATACCACACCAACGGCATGTGGCGCCCAGATTAGTCTTTTTGGATTGGATCTGCAGCTGGACACCGTGTATGTCTGCGGATTTCAGCAGCTCTGCGAGGAAGAAAGAAAACACTGGTTGGTGATTCATGGGTGTAGACAAGTTTCATTGCCGCAATGATTTGGCATGGCGATGAATTACTGGCTGAATAACTGGCCAGTGATTCATAAGTTGAGATGGCCCATGTAAGTAGCAATAAAAGATGGCTGACGGCGTTTTTTTTTCCCCTGTATACTGGGAATTTCACATGCATTTTTTGTTCCCTCTGGTTATGTCAAAATAGCTATTGAAAATGGCCATAGAAATAGTTGATTTATCCATACCCATATGCTTCATGTATGGAATATTTACCAACATTTACCCCATAAATGACCCAAATGTAGGTAAATATACCATACATGGAGCACATGGGATATACTACTGGGAATTTCACATGCATCGATCCACATAGAGGATGTTTCAGCCAGATGAGATCAAAGCAGAGATCAAGCCATGCCTTTTCGCTTCGAATTGACTTGATCAGTAATGGGAGAATTAAAGCAATAGAATCATCTTTGAGTAACAAACTGGGTAATCTAACATGTAATGAACGTTTGGTGACATTTTGCTGAGGTCCACTCTTTGATCTTCCCATGTTTGGTGATGACATTCGATCAGTTGCAATCCCCACAGAGAAAAAACATATCTATTTAGCTGGTTTCGATATCCCCATGTACAGTATTGAACGATTTCCAGTGAGCTGATCGCTGCTGGAGATTTTTTCCCTGCTCCACAAGTCCAGATCGGAAGTGGTGATATATATATATATATATATAAAAAGGATGGTCACTGGATATATACAGTATATATAGATATAGTGTGTGTATATATATATAATATAGTAAATAGTAAATAAGATCCAATATAAAGTATATATATAATCTATAAACATGGTATAATCACCAAGACATCCCAGAAGTTGGGAAATGACATCTACAACTATGCATATTAGTATCATGGTGAAAACACGGTGGCTTACGGTCCTCCTTCTCATATTGGGAATCCAAATCACCCATGCGAGCCATTTGTTCTACCCTGTTTTCCCATGTCATGAAATAATAAATACTAGTTGATTGTTAATAACTGTTCCTACTATGGGTCAAAAATAATCCCCAGTACATTAGGTAGTGTAAGTATGTATAAGTTCCTATACTAACCAATCAACCAGGGTACATCAGACCATATCACCATATTTCATGGTTAAATCCATGATATTCCCGTTTGAATCCCATACTCTCCTGTAAACGTTTACATAGATGTGGAGTTTACCCACCAGTTATATCATTCGACCATTTTCCAAATAGAAAACCATGGGTCTTCTCTATGCAAAACAAACTACTTGGTGGTTTCAACCCCTCTGAAAAATATGAAAGTCAGTTGGGAATATAACATTCCCAACTGAATGGAATAAACATCATGTTCCAAACCACCAACCAGCAAGCCATGTTTAAACCATGGCTCACCCGCCCGAATAACCCGATCTCTGAGGCTCCCTGCCAGCAGTTTGGGGATGTTCCCCCGATCCAAATCGAGCAGATCCTTCCCACAGGTCTGTGAGATCTCGGCCAAGCCGGCCACAGCATTGGCCACCACCATGGGGTTCCTGAGACGAACCCAACAAAATCCTGGGATTTACCCCGGTAATTTTTTGCAGTTCGCGAACTTGAAGCCATGGCCCATTGAAATCGTTGATTTACCGAAATTGTTCATAGCATGGTGATTTTCAATAACTGTATGTTGGTTTACCAGAGGGCATAGTATCCATCATAATCGCATGATCATCCCATCAGAATCCCTATTGGAAACCACATCCGTCAGGTCTTCCAGGGGCCCATCCAAGTCATCCAAGGCTCCCATCTCCCAGCAGATCTTTGAGGATATCCACGAAACCCTGGTCATCCACCAGTTCGGGATTGATGTCATAGACCTGGCCGGTTTTGCGGCGTTAAAAGATGGAAAAAAGTCACTTGCTGAGACTGAAAACCGCTTGGTTTGAACAAACCGACCCGGCAAAGTGTCCTAGGTCACTATCATATACATAATATGGACATATATGATCATATGGGCCACGGTCAATATTTGGTATATAGCTCCAAGTCATCAATTTTTGAAGTGTATTATCGTTTTCAAGTTTTGGTATATATTATATATATATGCAAATGTTATCGTTTTTTGAAGTGTATTATCGTTTTCCAAGCCCCAGCTCAATTTCCAACAAATAAAGATGTTTCGAATACTACTCTCCATTAACCTAAATTTTGGCTGTAGCTCATGTATATATATATGTACACACACACATTTATGTACAGTAGATAGATTTCAAATCATGTTCAAGCGGAAGCCTACCCTGTAGGCTTCAACAAGGGTTTCGGAATATCAGCCTCAACCAACCAATATGACAGATCATTGTACTCCAGGGACTCTCGCCAAGAAAAGCCCTATATGATGCAATAATCCGATGTAGCGTAGACCGACCTGCATCATATGATTTAGCTCTTAATGACACATGCAACATCACAGCAGGAACATCAAGGGTGAAACAAAATGAAACAAACAGCAACTCTCAACCTGAAAATCAACCATATTTCTCATGACCCCATGTCTTCCCGGAGTTCCCGCACCATTCCAGCGACTTTGCCAACCATCATGGTGATGGTGGATCTCTGTTCTGCCAAAAGTATTTGGAACATGGCATGGCATGGTATTTGGATGGATCGCATCTGTTTTTTTCCCCACCTGCCAGGTGAGGGTTGTTAGATTTTATGTCAGTTGCCTCCTCCTCCTCCTCCTCCTGCCTCGTCCTCCTCTCCTCCTCCTCTCCTCCTCCTCCTCTCCTCCTCGTCCTCCTTGTCATCCTTGTCGTCCTCTCGTTGTCCTCGTCGTCCTCGTTGTCCTCCTCGTCCTCCTGCTCAACTGCGACTCGCGATCCACAGTGTTCTCTGCCGGACCTCAACCACGACCACCCACGCCCAGTGTTCCCTGCCGGACCTCAACCACGACCAGCCACGCCCAGTGTTCCCTGCCGGACCTCAACCACGACCAGCCACGCCCAGTGTTCCCTGCCGGACCTCAACCACGACCAGCCACGCCCAGTGTTCCCTGCCGGGCCTCATCTGCGAGTATCCATGCCAAGTGTTCCCTGCCGGACCTCAACCGCGGGTATCCATGCCAAGTGTTCCCTGCCGGACCTCATGTAGGAAGATATGGGACAAAGAATGCGCAGAAGAAAGTTAGAAAGAATGTCAGAAAGAATGTCAGAAGATATGCCAGAAGATATGCCAGATAGAATGCCAGATAGAATGCCAGATAGAATGACAGAAGATATGTCAGAATATATGCCAGAACAAATGCCAGAAGATATGCCAGATAGAATGCCAGATAGAATGCCAGATAGAATGCCAGAAGATATGGCAGATAGAATGCCAGAAGATATGCCAGATAGAATGCCAGAAGATTTGCCAGATAGAATACCAGAAGATATGCCAGATAGAATGCCAAATGAAAATGTCAGAAAGATATGGTCAGATAGAATGCCAGAAGATATGCCAGATAGAATGCCAAAAGAATGTAAAAAGATCTGTTCAGATAGAAATGCCAGAAGATTAGCCAGCAGAAGTATGCCAGATAACGAATGCCAATAGAAGTCAGAAGATAGTCCGATAGAATGCCAATATCGAATGTCAGAGATAGATATGTCAGATAGAATGCCAAATAGAATGTCAGAAGATATGTCAGATAGAATGCCAAATAGAATGTCAGAAGATATGTCAGATAGAATGCCAGAAGATATGCCAGAAGATATGCCAGATAGAATGCCAAATAGAATGTCAGAAGATATGTCAGAATATGTCAGATAGAATGCCAGAAGATGTGCCAGTAAGAACATGTATAAATGTCATGGTGGGGATCACACGAAGTAAAGTAATTGTTTGGAGATGGTGACTTTGGCGACGACTTGGGCGGTGTTGAGATCGGTCCACGATTTTTGAGTTTTGACTCATCTGGATCAGGTCGAGACTCGCTTCTTGTGGCTGGACGAGAAGTTGCGTTTCTGTTTACGGCCAAAGCCGCAATTGGCGTTTGCCAAGCTCAAGTTGGACGCATCATCATCCATTTTAGGGGCTGCAAACTTCAGCTGATTCTAATGGCTTCATACGCATAGGCTGCATAGTTATAAGCTAAGATGGGAGATTGATATAACATGATATAATTGAGACCCTCAAAGTCAAACCCACTTATATATATATATAATTAGCGGAACTTCTCTAGTTAGGGTTCCAGGTTTACAGTTAAAGTTTTAGTTTTAGTTAAAATGTTATAGTCATAAAGATATTTATACCAACTGTTATATCCCAAATTCCATAGTTATACCCTATTATGTCTTAGTTATAACTATAGTCATACTAGAGCTATTACATCCCACATGTATACCCTAGACATTAGAGGTATAACCCGACCTGGTTTCAAATGATAGTTATATCCCATAGTTATTCTAGTTATAGTTATAGTTATTATAGTTATCTGGTTGGTGGTTTTAACCATCTTGAAAATTATTGGTCAATGGGAAGGATTTTCCCATATATGAAATGGAAAATAACATTCATGTTCCAAACCACCAACCAGTTATAGTTATAGTTGTGGTTTTTGTTATATCCCCAGTTCCAGGCTCAACTTCTGATGCCTTGGGGATGCAAATGGCCGAAGTCTTTCGGACGTAGGGATCATGGTCCTGGCAGATGTGCAAGTGGCCCTGAAGAAAAAAACGGTGATTTCACGGGAGTTTAGGACTTTAAAAGGAATTTATGGGATTTAATTGGTGTGTATATATATATATATATATTATGATGGGTATTCAATATGATTTGATGGATGTTACTGTGTTTTTTACTGTTTTTAATTGGATTTAATGGATTGTACGGGGATTTAATGGGAGTTTATGGTGGTTTAATGGGATTCAATATGGATTTAGTGGGATTTAATGTGGATTTAACGGTGATTTCATGGGGACATATATAGTGAATTTAACCGTGAGATTTTTCAGCATCAACAAGTGTGAAACATGGGGATTTAACGGTCAAACGGAATCAAAGATTAGGATTTAGTGGGAACCTAATATCAATGGATTGGTTTAAGGGAAAATCTTAACCGGAAACCATGGTTTTACATGTTTTTACCATCAAATTGATCGGGGTTTCCGGTTAAAATTTTCCCATCATCCAATTCTATGATAATAGGAACAGGTGGATTTTCTGATGATTTCATGGTGATTTAACCCATGACGGATCCATGTATGCTATATATATATATGGTAACATGGATCCCATCAACATAGCCCAGTCATGTTAGCATATATACCAGCACCATGGATCCTATGGGTAATGGGATTTGGGGTAATGGGATATGTGATAAAATCAAAGCCAACACTGGGATGACCCATGGTTATTCGCACGGGATTTATGTGATATATTACGTATGTTCACGGTAATAATTCTATAGATGGGATAACATTAAAAAAAACATCTGGCAATATCATGCAATATGTAGATTTTTCATATGATTAAATGTGATCCATGGGATATTTAAGGGATTCCATGGTATGCAGTATGGAAATGTGGTATTGAATCCCCAAGTTACGGCCGTTTTCAGAGATCCCAGCGCCTGCTAGATGTGATGATTTTTCAGCTAGGGGCAGCATGTCCCAAGCATAAGGAAAACACTACAGGCTATAAGTGGCGGAATCCTAAAGCCTTAACATGCCAAATTCTGGCGTCTGCTTAGTCTTCACATGACTATGGGTCAAAACTCTGGTACCCGTCTGTTTACATCAAAATGCTGGGATATAATCTATATATTTTAATTAGTGGCTGTTCATCAACCCATTTTTTGAAAAAAAAAAACATAGGCTTCAACCCATCCATCCCCACATATTGTTGTCTCGACCCATGGCCAGCCACCCAGCCACGCTGTCCTGGCAACATCTTCGAAGAGGCTCCAGCAGGTATTCCTTAGGGCATCTTGCTGAGCGGGAAAGCCACGCGCTTGGAGTACTGCGTGGACTTCCGAGTTGCATTCACTGGGTTTATGAGATACATATAAAAGTACAAATAGATCTATACGCATATATACAGATATATCTACTGTATATATGACTTACTATTCTGTTTAAATCTGGCTATAATTATCATTTTAATTTGGACTATGCAGGCTGTTGAAAACAATGGTTGTAATTGTTAGATGTTTTTGGTCTATTCATACATCTATAATTGGAAAAGAACACATAACTTCACATAACTAATGCTATCTATCCATACAAAATCGTTTTTTGTAGCCCAATCAAAGATGATCAAATCAAATATGTTTATCACCAGTTTTGTAGGATTTTACTATTCTATCAGTTTACTGTTTCTGGTGGTTGCTATCTATCTATTTATCTTTTTATCTATCCATCCATCTATGGATCTATCTTGTCTATTTAAGTAGGATTTTACTTAATTCAGTGTGTTTTTTTGGGAGTTGCTATCTATCTATCCATCCATCGATCTATCTATCTATCAATCTATCTATATATATATATATATATGTACACTGTATATTAGTATACCACCTACGACCCTCTTGGCTGCACCTTGCCTCAATCCAAGGGGCCGTCACCTGGTCCAGGCGGATGCAGCCCATGGTCCGCACCGCGAGGGAACGGATCAGGGGATTGGGATCCGTGGCGTCTTTTCGGAAGGTGTTGATGGCCAGGATCGCCTTAGGTGAAGAAATAGCCATGGAAAAAATATGGAAACATATAGGCACTGGAGAACAGATAGAAATATGGAAATATCACACTGCAAAATATCTAGATCGTTATAGAAATATGGAAATATCATAAGTGCTGACGATAAAATGAGGATAGTCACTGAAAAAAACATGTATATACAATTATACACATATAAAGATAAAGATCTAATCACATATAACTAAGAACCATGAAAAAATGGACAATTACTGCCAAATAAAATACATAGGGAAAATAACTAATGGTATAAACATAGTAATAACAGGAACTAATCAGATATATCGAGATTTAAACATGGTAACTACAAACTCCCATAAGCTGGGAAATAAGCCCTACAACTATGGTTATATCACAAGATCTAATCATATATAATCAGATATAAAAAACAGAATCTAATCATATATTTTTGGAGATATATACAATATACATAAACATGGTAATACCGCTAAGAACTCCCTTAAATTTGGAATATGATGTAACCCCTACAACTAACTATGGTTATGTATGTGCCATGTTCAACAGATGGTGGGACATGGTCATCCATCTCATAGGAATCCAAACCTCATGGCTATCAAAATCGCTGTGAACATGGATTGATGACAAATTCCTTTATAGACAGGAAAACAACCCATGTGAGCTATGGCAATAAAAAGGGATGTGTAGCTGGAGATATCATGTAATGGTGACATAATCATAGGGTGAGTTAATACGGGAATGGAATGGGATATAACCAACCATATGGAATTATTTTACACCCATAGTAACTAAAAGTATATATACGAATATTATCCAATAGTATGGACATATATGCAATATTGGCTACTATCATTCCCAGTTATACCCGTTTTTTCCATCTCATGAAATACAAGTTGTCTTTTTGTCGGTTTCCCAAATGTGGGTTAGTTCATATAATTCCCAATATAATTATAACTCCTGGAAAAATTTCAACAAGGATAATCAAACTGGTTGGTGGGTTTGAACCCCTCTGAAAAAAATATGACTTCGTCAGTTGGGATATGGAAAAACAACATTCATGTTCCAAACCACCAACCAAATATATTGTTATCCCAGTGATTAACCATTATTAACCATAGATTAACCATAGATTAACCAGGAAAATTCCATGGTTCTAAACCACCAACCATTATCCAGTGTTGATGTCATCTTCTGTTCCTCAAAAATCACATTTCCATATTCATTTCCCATGGCTTTTCCCATGGTTTTCCCATCTGGTAGGCCTGGGATCCACGGAACATGACCTGGATGATTTGGATTGTTTTGTGGAAGCCGGTTTCTGAAACCTGGTTTCTGTCACCCAACGACCCGGCCTGGTAACAAAAAACTATGGAAAATCACCATTTATAGTGGATTATCCCATGAAAAATTGTGATTTTTCAGTTCGCAAACTGTTAGTTTATACCAGAGGGTAAGCCAAACTAGGTGTGACGCTGTCCCAACAATATGATTGGGGAAAACTTTGTAAATACGACACTCCATTCGCTAAAGTGGCACGCTTGGAACTCAATGACTCTGGGATAGCCAGGTTTGGCCAACCGTGAAATATGGGATCTGGATGGATTTCTGATTCTTCACAACACCCTGTTTTCAACTTAGCATCCGCATTGCCAGTGCCCTGCTAAGTATGTCCCTGGAACCAATAGCAATTCGTTCCGGGCTACAAGTTCTGGCTGAGCTTTGGCATAGTTCATCACATACCTTCGGCTGCTCCACATCGAGATTTGGTGAGCCAACCATCCAAAGATCTTCGAGTTTTTTGGGGTCAATGATCCCAATACTGATCTACATTGCCAATGAAAACCAAAACTTGGTGTATTGTTCTGAAGCAAAATGAATTTTCAAAACGAATGTCTTTCAACGTCCCAAATGCTACGAAATGGTAAAGTATATGGATTGATCATGGGCACTCCTGGCTCCAAGTGTGCAGCTCTTAACTTAAGTTCAGTTGGGATCAGTTGAGGGGTCCAACTAGTCGAAATGAAATCAATGAACGTGAATGGTAAAAATCTACCACCCTCAAAGTCACCCTTGAAATGGACCGGAGTACCACAAGTCTAGGTATTCGATGGTAATTCATTTGATATATTATAATATATTATAATATATTATACACACATGTGATACATCATATATACATATATATTTGATGTATTAAATTTAGTAACGTTTACATATATTTATATGCTATGTATGAATGTATGTGTAATATCCGCTTGGGCTCATAGTCGTCAGCGGTGCTAACCCGCCCTTCCCAAAATCATGAACCTCAACAGGATCTTCCCATTTTCAGATGTGAAAGCAAAACACCTTTCTAACCGCCAACCATGCAGGTGTATCTATCACCCTATGCAGTCGAAAACACTCACAAGAGGATTCTAAACAGATTAATGGGGAGGTGTCTGTAACATTCATATTTCTGCGTTTACTGCAATCAAGTTGTTTTTCTTCCCATAGCTCCAAAATTACCCCAGGCGGTAAGCAATATTGGGATATGTGGATATGTCTTGATGGCGGCTTTCCAACAAACTCATCACCAAGTGATTATCCCCATGATGTCCCAATCCATGTTATCACCCTTTCTTCTCAAGCCACCAGATGTTCCAATCTTTTTTCTCTGCTGAGGTCACCCGAAAAATATTCCAGAACTTTCCAGAAAAGATATGATGGTCTAGCCACAATATATATATATATATATATATTAGGCATTGCTTCTAACAGTAACTCTTTAGGCAATTATACCCCAATATTTGGGGTATATATACCCCAATTTTTGGTGTATATATACCCCAAAATTTTGGGTATATATACCTCAATATTTGGCTCTTTTATACCCCAATATTTGGGTCATTTATACCCCAAATTTGGCAATTTATACTTTAATATTTGTGGCATTCATACCGTCAGGACACAAGGAATGGAAATCTGAAAGCTGGCAGCAACCTTCCGGTCTGGGAATGAAATGGCTTTGGAGCAGGATGGAATAGAATCAAATAGTGAAAAGCACAGCTCAAAAGTGATCCAAAAAATACCCTTAATTTGGTGTATGGAAGGCCAAACAATACCCCAAATTTGGGGTATGGAAAGCCAAAAAATACACCAAATTTTGGGGGTATGTTATAAATAAAAAAAATAGGGTATTTTTTGCTTCCCCCAAGCACACTAGCGTTCCAGACCCCAATTTCCCGGACCCATTCCAGACCCCAAATTTGCTGTATTTTTTTGGATTCCAGACCCCAAATTTGGGGTATGTTTTGGAATTCCATACCACCAAATTTGGAGTATGGTTTGGGCGGTCAAAAAGGTATAGAAAACCAACAAAAAAATCCTTCAAAGTGGTACGTACAAACAATTTGTGTTGCATATTGTGTATAGTTGGAACACACATTTGGGGTATATTTTATTGAGCAAGATTTGGGGTATATTTTGAACAAGATGTGGGGTAAATTTGAACAAGATTTGGGGTATATTATAACAAAAATTGAAGTATATTATAACAAAAATTGAGGTGTATTATAACAAAAATTAAGGTATATTACAACAAAAATTAGGGCATTTCTCGTTGGCACAGCACAAACGTAGACCTTCAGCAGGTCCTCGTAATCGGAGGCAATGAACCTGTGTGGGAACGTTCACGGAGGTGCTCTTCTCAATGAACTTGTCCATCACCACAGCATAGCTCGGGTGGTTGCCCGCCTGCTAGACGGAACCACCTGTCAGCTGCACAGCGAAAGCAGGTGAGTTGGGCCAGAGCTCGGAGACTTTGTTCATAGTGGTGCCGGCCAGTCCCAACCGTGGCCCAACATGGACAATCAGCGTGAAAGGGGCCTTCATCAAGTTGACGATCTGGTCCAGGTAGCCAGCCACGATCTTCATCTTACTTGTCGGGGTGTCGATCAGCACAACAGGCCTTCCATTTTGTGAAGGCAAACAAGAGACATGAGCCTTGAAGGTGTCAATGGTCCGAAAACACTTGGTCTCATCCATGTCCTTGTTGGTTAAAAATTGGGTATGAATAAGACAAGGTCGGGGTATATTATAACTGCTGGGGATACCTAATGTAGGCAATATATAGCCTGTAAAGAGGGTACCCTAGTTACTGTTAGAGGAAACCCCTAATATATATATATATATATATAATATTTATATATATACACATGTATATCATATATTATATATAATGTAGTACAGTAACCATAGATGCCATAGATTCATAGATGTTTTTTGTAGGACAAGCTGCAAGTAGACCAGTTTCTTCAGCTCCACATTGTCCGTCTGAATGCAGTTCACCACGTCTGCAAAGAGCGCCGAGACGTCTTTGCCCACCGTCATATTGGCGATGACCTACAGCACCCCGCAGATGGCTTGGAGAAACCGTATGGAACATCTGTGATTGATATCATTGGGGCATTAATATGTTTTATGTAGGAACTATGGTTGAAACTGTGGTTGAAACACCAACTAAATTTTGGGTTTTATCTCCATTTCCCTTGAAGAATAAAGATCTGGGAAAGGTGCAGGCGAACGTAGCACTTCACTGACCAAACGGGGGGTGATCTTTACCTGGTTGGTGGTTGACCTACCCCTCTGAAAAATATGAGTTCGTCAGTTGGGATCATTATTCCCAACTGAATGGAAAGTCAAAAGTCATGTTCCAAACCACCAACCAGTTATAGTTAGTTGTAACAATGGTACTAACCACCACACGTTGGGATATGGGGGCCCTACAACTGTGGTTGAACATATCCAGTCACATCTGGGACTGCACCCCCAGTCGCCCCCAAGTAGGTATTCCCAGAATCGGCTAGATAAACTCAACACTGAAGGAAGTGGTACAAACCACCATAATTAAACAAAAACATCAGCAGGGGTCTTCTTCATGTCTCACCTGCAACTCATTTCCAACTGGGTGATAATTCACCATGCTACACCAGGGTCCTTGTCCAACTCGTTCACTGAAAAAAATCACATGCGCAAAGTCACCCAATCTTCACCCAGAAAACAGACCCAGTTGGGGCAAATGGCTCTGTCTTCATAGACCATGGATCTATTTCATCCTCTCGGGGTCCCAATCCTATGGCTGTCCAAACCAGTTTTGGGGAATAACCATTGGTAATTCACCACTCTGCTAAAAGACCATCTCTCCAAATATCTGGATGCGTGTCCCTACCATCGCCAGCGTGACGTGATGGTGAGGGGTTGATGTCAGTCACACAGATTAAATATTATTACTAGCCTACATAGTATTATTGGTTATAGCTAGCCTACATAGTATATAGACTTATAGATCCCAATAGCCACTAAAATCACCATAAGATGCTAGGTTATAAAAAAACTTCATTGTTGAAGATGACCTGGGACTTAGTGACTATGGGACCCATGGGACCAAAGCAAGCTGCTTGGAGGTTTATATATATATACTGTTAATATTCTGTTAATAATGGTTAATATAAGGATATTATATGATTGTTATATGGTTATTATATGATTATTATATGGTTATTATATGGTTATTATATGGTTAATATTACTGGTTAATATCAATGGTTATGATGATGGTTAATGATGGTTAATCATAATCTGGTTGGTGGTTGACCTACCCCTCTAAAATATGATGGACTTCGTCAGTTGGGATGATGACATTCCCAACTGAATGGAAAAAATAAAAGTCATGTTCCAAACCACCAACCTGCAAGGTGTGGCCATGTGTGGCCTTCTTGACAGCATCTTTCTGCTTCTGCTTGTCATTGGCATGAAGTTCTTCCTAGCGGTTTCCGGAGGGGATCTCACCACCATAAAGAACCATCGAAAATGGGGTGGTAAAAAATCTTCAAATTTTTCGAACTACCGCATCCTTTGGTCTAAATACATGAAAATCATCAAACCGATATGGAAAACAATGGAAAACAACTGTTTTCCATGTGATCCATGAGAAATCTTATGGATGGTGCCATGGAATTACTGCTACCCCCATACTGGTATGACCTGACGTAGTTACTATATGGGAACTGACCACTTTACCCCAGCGAAATGATCATCCAATGAAGACTTGACGAACCACCAAACTCAAGAAACACGAGCAGCAAAAACCTGTATCATATGGCAGTGTGTCAAAAGGGTGTACCCCTGTAGTTCACATCAAAATAGCTGGGATTTATGGATGTTCATCCCATTAAAAATTGTATTAATAGGTATTGATCCATAGCCATATCTCAAATTGCAGGACATTTTGTCATGTTGTCCTCATGTTTCCGTGCCCTGCCCCAAAAACCTGGTCCTTCAGCTCTTGAATTTCTCCTCGCTTTGTGGTCTGGAAGAACTTTCCATCGTTTTGTTTCTGCCGCATCGCCACCATCGTGCCAAATCGCGGCACCTTAAAGGAGACATCGATGCTGCTCAAACGCTGAGGGAGTGGTCAGGTCCCTTCTAGCCGATGGCTTTCCACTCTCAAAGGTAGAAACAAACATCGCGAAGTAGTGGATGTGTTGGGTCTTCCAATGGTTTTTGCCAGCCAAAAAAAGTGGTTTCACCAGCAAGAACGTTTAGTTGAGAGAAATTGACTTGCTGAGTATGTAAATGCTACCAAAAAAGGTGACTTCACCAGCAAAAATCAAGATAATTTCAACAGCAACCAAGTAGAATTATTTAAGATTTATATGTGATACATGATAGGTTTCTGTTGGCTTTTACCTAAAAAAAACAGGATCTACGGTGGACATTTTTACAAACGAATTGGTAAACATCAACCAACAAACGGAACTATCGGGGGTCCATGTTGTACAGGTCTTTTTGGCCTTCAATTTTCTTCTAAGCCCATCAAACATCGTCAAAGTATCTCATATAATTACATACAGTATATATATATATATATACCATAAACTATATATAGTTCACTCACTTACAAACCATCTTAGCTAACGAACTGGGGCCCTACCTCGTACTACAACTTACCTCAGCTCAAGGAACGCGCGCAAGCTCTAGCGCCGCGCAAGGCTGGCGCCCCCCTTGGAGCCGAAAAGTGGCAGCGTTGGACTCGCTGCGACGCTGTGGCAATCCCGATGTTGTCAAATCCAAATAGTGATTGTTTGCAAGTCTTAAGCTACATATGAATATTAATGGATTCAACATGGAGGTTCTCACATTTTTTGGGAGCAATTGTTTTGCCACTGAATAGTTGCCACTGACTAGTTGAAGAGTTTCCTTCTGTCGGAGCTCATTCGTGAACACTTTGCAAGACCAATTGCCTTGTCAAGCGATGTCCCTGGTCATCATGGCAATGGGGCTCCGGATGGCTCCGGCCATTTAGTTTCTGGGCGCAAATCAAGCTGATAGACTACATAAGTATCACGTTGATCTTGGCACGGGAAAACTACTGTTCTGACATTGGTCAAAATTGAAGACACCGGTACTGACTTTCAAGAATGAACCATCCATAACCCATACTTTATCATTTTGAATATCGTATTTTTTCCCCTACCCCCATGATACCAGCTGGTAACACTCAAGACATATTCCATCTATAAGACAACAACGGTTTGTTCCAATAATATCAATAATCAAGTACCCAAAAGGCTAGTGCTTCATGGAAATGTTCCATAGGGAGCTGAATCTCCATTTCTGGCTGAAAACCATAACATGGTGCACACATTCCCATTAGGTTCCCTTAGATGTATGAACCCTAATCACCTACCTGGGGATATCCTATAAATATGTGGTTACGCGTTGAATATTTAACATGTAACTCATGTAACCCAAAAAATAATATGTCATGCATGCACATGCCACATTCAATAGTAACATGTTTTTCCAAAAAACATTATCTTGGGGTTTTGCGCAAAACTTAGATGTCTATACGATAGTCAAGGACCATGGATTCCCCCCAGCCGCAGTTCGACCTTAGGCACTTGGCGCCCAAAGAGCAAAATACGTGGAAGCAGGTCCTGTGGCGGCCCAGGCCATGAAGAAATCAGGGTGATACCCAACCATTCAATGATTCTTAGTGGGAGAATCATCTACACATGGCTTAATGCAGCATATAATTGGCAACCTTGGTGATACAATGGGTCCATCATGGGGATATAATGTAGCTATAATATTGTTCCTTCATGTCGGCTAGTCATCTATAAATGGTTATTCTAGTGGGATACATACTAGGATATATATATATATATGGGAAAAACACCTGCATTTGTAAGATATGTGGAAAAAACCCACAAAAATGAAGGTGAACAACTGTTTTCGACCGGGGTTTCTCTCTGGTTGTTTACAAACGATATTGTTTTTTGTATCCTAGTGGAGTTGCTAAGCCAAGTACCTCCCCAGAAGGTACAAAACCTCTCTCAGAAGGTACGCCTTTGACCGTATCTGTAGGTCAGTTTCCTAGGACACCATATGAAACCATGGATTTTCCACATCTTTTTGTTCCCCCAGGGTGTCAAGGAACGCCGCTGTTCGCCGCCCTGCCTTCAACATGTCAGCCACCAGAGCCTGGAACTCTGCAGTACTCTTGGCCTTGACTCCTTGGGCAAAATGGGGCATCCTTCCCACATGGCCATTTTTGTGAGGGGAAAAATGATGGAACATGTTCATGAACATGATGATTGACCATGGGATTTGGGGGTAGCCATGGGTAGCCTATTTTCAAACAAAGCCATTTGGGACCAGAAAAAAATGGGTGATGGAATATTTGTTGGGATGGGATGAATACATCTCATCAACACGGTGCGGTGGTGCCCCATCCTTAGCTAAGTTGGTTTATAAGTGACATAACCAGGCTTTATGGCAGATATATCTGGGTAAATTATATTATTTCACTAACCTGAAACTTGCGGCCGTTTACCTTTGACAAAAGGCCCCTCCCCCTGCCTGAGCCCAAGGGGTGACCCGCAGACTGTTCGCTTTCCTTTCTATATTAGGAAGCAAATGTTCTTTGTAAATCTTCTCTTTCTTGCGTTAGATAGACACACAAAGTTCCTCTAAAAAGTGTTGCGTCGCCTTCTGACTTCCAGCTGTGTTTTTTTGCCTGTTTTTCTCTGTCTTTCCATTCCCAATCCCTCCTCTGTAACTCCACCTCCCACCTCAAAAAAGTGTCAAGGTTAATTTTTGGCAAACCATCAAGAGATTTAATGCTGCTCAGCCAAAATGTAGTACACTTCAGACTGTCTCGGCTGAGATGGACGCTTTTGAAGACCCGTGGTCCAGCTACGATATCCTTGAGCATAAAGAGCTTTCACCTTGCCATTGGTCACATGGCACGGCATGACCTCTTCTGGCACGAGCGACCAGAAATGTTGAACAACTGTGTATGCCATCTTTGCTTGCTCATTCAAATCGGTTTCCAGCAGTTCGAGTTCCACTTCAGAAGTAGCTTGTAGCACAAACTGTGTTCCCTGTCTGTCTCTGCGCACTGGAAGCCATTGTCCATGAAACAACGTCAACGCGATGGCAACCTCTGCCCATGCCATACCAATATCTTCCTCCACATTCTGCTCCTCCTGTGGCCAGTCACATGAACGTAGCCATTCCCCCACTGCTTTCATGACTTGCGATCCCCATGCACTGTACTGCACCCAATGCATGGTCCAAGTTCGCTGATCCTGCCATTTGTTTTCAATGAGGAGCCCTTCCTGCCAGGGGCATAGGAGGAATCGGAGGCCTTGTTGTTGATCAGATCCAGGGTTCCGGACTTGCGGCCATTTTGGGATGATTTCCCTGAAATTAACCATTATTCCAGGGTTCCGGAGAACAGGGTTCGGTCGTTGTAACTTACCCAAATATATCCTGGTTGGTGGTTTCAAACCCTCTAAAAAATATGAAAGTCAATGGAAAGGATGACATCTCATATATGAAATGGAACATAAAATTCATGTTCCAAACCACCAAGCAGTATCCATAGATATCTATAGCGAATGAGGCTTACTTACCGCGACATCAAAACGTCCTCCCGGCCGCGTCCTGACTCTTCCCGAGGACCACTCGCTGGTGTTTCCGCCTGCAGGGATGGCCGGGATGGCCCGAAATCCGAAATTGTGGCAGATCCCTGGTTTTTTCAGCGACTTCGAAGTGCTTACTGGCTGAACCACCATGAATCACGTTTATGGCGATGATTTGTGATAGACCATGATTCCATGATTCACGAACTATGATGAAGCGTGGAATTCGGGTTACCAAATTTTGAAACACGCCATTTTGACCAGTGCATGTAGCTTAAATGAGCCAGATTACATCCCGTATTGGCTGTGAAGTCCCTATGTTCCATGGTTTCCAGTGGTTCGCCGGCTCAAAAAAAATGTTGACCTGTAAAAACTGACGAATCCTACCCAACTATCCCCAAAATAATAGCCAGATCTTTTTGCGCCAGATCCAGGATGATCCACGGGATCAATCCCATCGAGGTCTTGTGATCCCACATGCTCCATGTATGGATTATTCACCAGTGTCTACACTAAGAATTATCAAAATCTAGGCAAGTATACAATACATGGAGCATATATGGGATTCGTGTTTTTCAATGTTCTTCAGTAATGGAGTTCTAATGAATTCTCCATTGCCGCTAAGCTGATTCAAAATTTGTTTCTTCTTGTCTGTACGTGCGATAAATCCACATCGGAACCGCAATGACAATGGGAAATTAAGGTGCTGAAATACGCAAATGCAAAGGTAAATTGTGCCTCTTGACACAAACAAGACATATATTCTCCGTCAGCATCATTGCCATCACTAGGAACATGGACAAACTCAACCTGCTGGTTTCTTTTCTGGCCTATTTTCGGGCCCGCAAAGTCAACAAATCTGAACAGAAATGCTTTGCATCAACACACATCTCCGGAAACCGCCGGAAAACCCCATGGATTTGAACATTTGGCAGATCAAAACCAGGATTTATTGTGTGGTTGTTTAATATTAAACCCTTACCATCTGGTTATTTAAGATAGCCATGGAAAATCAACATTTTTAATAGGTCAACCATCTATAAATGGGCCATTTTCCATGGCTATGTTAAATAACCAGAGGGTAACTATCCTTACCTCCATACGTTGCCACTCTTCGATCCCATTCAGCCAAATTGTTAATAAATTGATTTGTATACGTCTCCAGTTACAGCAATAGAATAAAATTTGAAACCACCCATCTAAGGTAACTATATATATATATATATATACATATTGCTATATCATGCTATATCACTATACCCTAGTGCCCTAGTTCTCCAAACACCTTCTATCTGGATATTTGGAGCACTCAGGATATATCACAGAATTCTTGTTTTTTTCCATCCAATCACCACTACAAATCCCGAGTTGTCCATCGAATCCCGTCAATGCCCCGTTGAAAAACACAAGGCCTGGGGCACTGGTATTGGTGGCGTGTCAGCGCCCTCGGCCACCTCGCTGGCCTTTTTGTGGTTTTGCCAATGGGAGCAGGTCCAGTGTAGTTGCATATATTCAATATAGATTGTATGGATTATATACATATCTGTATATATATATGATTATTAAGGTTTTGGCTGAGGGACGATGGACGTTTCCAATCCCCCACGCCTTTCCTTAGCGGGCTTTGTGACCTCGCCCGCGGGCCGTTTTCGCAATTTGCTGTCGGCCTTTCTGTGCGGTGCTCAACTGGTTCGCCCTGGCACCTACGGAACGTGCTCTGCCGGAGCTGACCGCCCGGCATCACCTGATCTTGCACTGGTCACGTGCACTTTGTCATCGCGTTCGGGCTTAGCAACATCTTGGTACAGTTTGACATTGTCCTGGCCAAGTTTGCGACCATCCTGGCTGCGTTTGACATTTACATGGTCTTTTTGCGCTCCTTCATCTTTGTGATCTTGCTTGTGTCTGAGATTGAGCTCCCATTGCGGATTGTGGCATCCAACGGCGACTGCAACTCATCGTCGGCAATTGCGCAGGCGACGAGCCGCTGCCAGGAGGGCCTGGTTCTTGCATCGGAAGGGCATCCGTCTTTTGGCACCGGCCCAGTGCAGACACATACTGCGTGTTCTTGTTGGCCATCATTCGAAGGACGTCCAATTCCTTCGCAAGATTGCCTCAACAATGGCGACTTCAGATCGAGCACCATGGAAGTGCAGAATCTGCAGACAGCTGAGGAAACACACAGCTCTGTACTGCACCAATTGCCAGCAACCATGGCAAAACGTGATCGACCAGTCCTATGTGCATGGCTCGAAGCAGACATCGCAACAGGACCAAGGTCAGCATTACAGTTCACCATGGCAGCAGCAACAAGATTGGCAAGCTCATTGGAACTCTTCGAACTCCAGAGGACGCACGCCCTCGCCGAGACAGCGACAGAGACCAAGGAGCGCAAAGAAGACTCCGAAACAGGAGCAAACATCCACGGCACATCAGCCGACCCAAATGATGATGCCGCCCATGGCTCCTCAGGCCTACATGGGTCCAATGGGCACAATGCCTCAAATGCCTACGATGTATCCTCAGCAGCTCATGCCATTCCCCATGCAGCAGATGACAGGAAGTATGCCTCCGCTACCGCCACCGCCGTCACAAAACATGGCGAAGATGCCGGCACCCATGCCGGGACCTGCACCCAACATGAGTGGGAATTTTGTACCATCAATGCCCACGATGCCTGCACCAGCGATGCCGAAGATGACCGTGGCTTCGGTGCCATCCAGCAATGCTGCAGATGCAGAAGTAAGAGGATTGATGTCCATGATGAGAGGACGACAAGCGGAATTGCCGGAGGACATGCAGCAGAAGGTTCAGAAGGTTCTCACCAAGTTCGGCCAGCAGACGTCGACAGACCTTCATGCTGCGGTGACAGCGCTGGACACGGCCCGGCAGAACTACGACGACGCAGTTCTTGCACGCAGCCAGCATCATGCAATGTGGAAGAAGTTCCTCTCGGATGCGGTCCAGCTGTGGAGGACATATGCTGCTCAATTCATGGAGCAAGAACAGAAATTGCAGGAGCAAGTGATCACTCACAAAGAATCACTGCTGACAGCCAAGAAGGACTTGGAGACCTGCAAGCAAGCCAAATTGGGTGCTGGCGATGTTCAACAGATCAACTCGGACGACGAGACCGAGGATCCAGAAACAGCAGCAGCGCTTCAAGCCTCTGTCAAGATCACAGAGACGATGGAAGGATTGGCGACCTCCCTTCAATCTCTACATCAAGAAGCAGAGGCCATGATCGCCGAGGAGAACCATGCTGCCAAAAGACAACGCACCATGCAACCCAAGGAAGAGGACCAAGATATGGCACCTGGAGACGGATCCAAGCCGCATTTTGGCAAGGCTGGTTGAGTATGACTGCACAGTATGCCAACCTGAAGCCACAGGCAAATGACAGCCATGCCATTTCTGGCGAAGTTGCTGTCCTTAAATGGTCCCACAGCATTGTCGAGGAGTATAACTTCATCAATGAGTTCGCCGCCATTGAGAATGCACGTTCCCTTGCATTCGAATTGGGGACCTATGATGGAATCTCCTGTGCCACAACATCAGCTACACTCACTCACATGGCTCCTTCACCTCGTCGAAGCTTGGGTTTTGCTTCAGACGTTGACGTTCTGATGGGCCTGGCTGATGAGTTAACCATGTACAAGATCACCGTTCCCGATGTATGTCTTGGCAATGGTATCATGCCTTGGAGTGCGGGTTTACTTCGAGGAGGAGAATTTTCCAACACCAATTTTGACTTCAATGCAGATCAATGGCAGTGTCTGGCTGATCACAGCCCTATTGACTATGCCAACGGAGAGAATACTGCTCCACCAGTTGCGGCAGCCACCATGTTCCCGAGCGCTGGCGCTGCTGACACCAATGATGCTACCCCTGGACCAGGACATCATGGAACTCCACGAGGAGAGGCCCAGATGCCTTCTTGGGGACAGAATATATTACAACTGCTTGAAGAAGAGGGAGAAGTAAGTGATGAGGACGAAGGCCCGGTCATTATGGTCAGCTCCTTTTTCATTGATCATGAGACGCACAGATTTCATGATGAGCCAAGAATCCTGCGCTTTGACCAGGAATATCAAGAATGGGAGGCTGATGTGCGGTTCATATGGGAAGACATGATTGACAACCAAGCTTCTTTGGACATCGTCATTGTTCGTCCTGAACCACCACACATCCCATTCCGAGGAACGGTAGCCACGGTCATTGTTCATCAACATCAAAGAGCAGACAGGGCTGCGTGCCTAATCACGGCAGTGCACATCATGGACCCAGTGACCACTTTCAGACATTCTGCCCATTCAACTGATCTTCTCCTTCCTCATGCACAAGTACGACATTTGGCGGGCGTTGAACAAATTTGCCTTCAACGTGAACTGCAAGGAACCGATCGATGCACAGTCCACATTGGTCATCAACTACAACCTGATGATCAAGATCTTGCCATCTTTCATGGACTGAGTGTACACATTCGCATTCCCTCCTCTCTCTCCATTGAAGAGGCGGAACAGAATCTCTGCCGTCGAGTTCAACAACAAAGACTTCAGAGACAAGGAAATAGCTGGGATCCTCCGGATGTTCCAGAAGGACCTCCAGAAGCAGACCATCCACGACCTGATCCCACAGGAGCAACCGGACCATCTCAGGATCCTGAAGATGCCATTTCTCTCATGGGAAGAAGACCTCATCGGCCAGTCAGACGGCAACCGATTGAAGTGTCTTCAACATCAAATTCTCCTGAGACAGTGTCCTCAACTGAGCGTGGATTGGACTGGAGACAAACAGTCATCTTCACTCTGGATGGTTTGTCGACGTCAGCACAACTTCCATGGAGTGATCCAGATGCCCTTTTTGGTCAAATTGCAGCTGCTCTGAACTTTGGCAGAAGAAACATCTTGCGAGTTGTCGCGGTACCACACAGACCTTTGGACTATGAGCCAGTTCAACTACATTGTATGTTGCTCCAACGATCCACTGAGTTCAGACCGTCTCCATATGTTCGTCTAATTCTGGTGGACCGAGAACTACATGTAGAGCAGACTGTACAGCCTTCGCCCTTCCGCAGATTCCCTACATGGATCCCACACATTCTCACAAGAGCTGGCCTCCTGAATGAATTTGGCTTGAGCGAACTATGTGAAGCCCAAGGCCAACCATGCCATGTATGGAGAAACAACGTCCTCATTGAGGAACAAGCCACGGAGAACCTGTACATGGCCGATGGTGACTATGTCAGGATCTTTGTGGGAGACCTGCCAAACTCTGAGACATGCATGTCCGATCACGAGAGTGCGGAAGAAGAGATGATCACAAACGACACTGAGGAAGTCAACCTTTTCCAAAAAGCAATGCGAAACCTCAAGCAGGACTTTGCCAACCTGCTGCACAAACTGGAACCAGCCACATGCAAAGTCGCACCTGACCATGTCACGACGGGCAGACCTATTGGACTTCCAAGTACAACACGACAAGACCAACGTCCTGCTGCCCCGACACAGGAGTTCCATCAAGGTGATCTTCAACGACTGAGGAATTGGTTTGACAGAGATGCACTCATTGAGTGCAGCGATGAGGGCGAAATCGCCTACATTAACACATGGTATATTCATCACCAACAACAGGCCATCTGTCGAGAAGCACGACCCTTCCGACTTGGAGCTGATCCCACCAGCTGGAGGACGGACATCCTGGAACTATGGCAAGATATCATTGACCCCAACTTGGCCACGACCATACATTTGGTTCAGCCGCCCCCACCATGCGCCATGACGGAATGTGTTCTTGCCCATCTGATTCTAGAGCAATCCACACGACCTCAGCATGGTGTTGGACTTATCACCATACATGTTCGAGACCGACATGGTGACTCCACGCGGCATGGGGCCTACTCACTTCCCAACATCATGACAGAGCGCAATGTGCTGCATCTGGCAGAGATGTTTATGTATTGCCAAGCCAGACTCTGTGCTGTTAGACTTGGAGCTCTACCTTTCGGACTTGCTGATTGGGTCGAAATACCAAGGGCCGCCAGTTTGGTCATCCACATCAGGCCTCTCATCCTGCCGCAGGATGATGATGACCCTATGGAGCTGATGCAACGCTCCCGCACCAGATGGAGACGTGAGCCTTCTACACCAGCAAATGACGTGCACGCACCCAATGATGGATTGGCAACTTCATCAACCAGCAGACGATGTGCACGCTTCGTCTTCAATCCTGGCGCACCAGCATTCAACCCCATGACTCCCAATCTGAACACGATGTCTGAAGAGATCCAAGAACTACACCAACATTGGATCCGGACCGCCTTTAGTTGGGAGGGCGAAACAGCCTCAACCAGGATCCAAACATGGTTCGTAGATCAACACGACCAAAACTTCTGGACGTGCAATCAGCCCAGAACAGTCCGCCTCTACGAGGATTACACGCAGTGGGAAGCTCAAATCAGGCAGACCTGGCAAGATCTTTTGAATCCAGCAGCGCCATCGATCATTCAGGTCGTGACTCCCACTCCTATCAACACGCACAGAGAAACTGCAGCGCATGTGCTATTGATTCAACGGCCACACGAAGTATTTGCCACTGTTCTGACTACAGTGGTTGATCTCAGCCATGCAAGACGTGCGATCACAATGCAACTCGCAATCACTACACATGAACATATGTATGTTCAGAATTTGCTGATGGCATTGGGATTGGCTGGACGATGCCTTGTTTCAGGTGCAGCTATGACATGCCAGACATGGTATGATCGATTCCTCATTCAACCAGGTACGGTCTTTCCTGCTCGCAATGGCCAAGGACTTCTGATTCAGATGCACAGGAGACCGACCTATCAAGACATGCGAGACGGCACCAACCTTCTTCAAACAAGAATGCAAGTCATCCATCGTGAGCGCCAAACACATGGGCAGGTAGCTCATACCCATGGGCCACGATCGGATACGTCAATGCATGAGCCGACGCAGTCAAGCACAATGTCAGTTGGATGCGACCTCTCGCCTGTCGAAACTGGCATTGTTTACATTCACTGGCCTCCAACTTTCCGTTCATCTACACAAGTACCACAATTTGTTGAAGTAGAACAGCCAGGAGCTCCTGAGCAAGTTCAACAAGAGCTGCGTTGCATGGGATATGAAGGTGAAGTTTTTCCCTGTGGCCAACATGATGCGGTTTACTTTCATCCCCGCATCTATCAACAGGAGATGATGCACATCTACTGCAATCAGGATACTACAGTCCCCAATGGTATTCACATCCACCGTGGACCGCCTGCAGAGGATGACATCACCCACATGAGGATCCTTTACCAGAAGGGCTACCACAAGGCGGTCATTGTTCAACGTGAAATCATGGACAAGAATGTCGCTATACTGCATTTCCGCAATGTGGAGCCGCAGCAAGACCAAGAAGAACGCCTGCCACGCCAACGCTCTCCGTGGCCAGACAAACAGCCCCTCCAGATCAATATGACGCGACCCTACACAGGGAAACACATCCAGGGGATGCGACCGGATCATATTCTGGAGTTAGACTGTCAAGCACTCTATGACTTCTTCATGGCGCCACAGATCACCCTCATCAAGGACGTCACTGAGTATGAAGTCCCGGAGTTCATTCGACAAGCTCTTCATAACTGCAAACAGCTTGACAGACATGACCGCATGGTGATCTACACAGATGGATCCTCCCAAAGCCGCAAGCGACACTGCTCTCCGTTGTGGACGGACCTGCATGATACCAGCGATTCATGGTGTTTTGCTGTATTTGCTGAACAATATGCCGACCTGCACGACGATGATGGACCACATCTGGAATTCATCGGACTGACTTGCCAGCAGATCCTGTATGAGCCTGATCGTCATCATCACGTCGGCACAGACCATATAGGGTCAGATGCAGCAGAGACTGAGGCCTTGCTATGGAGTGCGCTTTGGAGGATTGCCCAGAATCATCGCCTCCCTACGGTCTTCGTTTCAGACTCACAACTGGTTGGAGGGCAAGCATCTGGCAAAGTGGGATCCAATGCTTTCAATGAGCCGTTTCGACACCTTCGTGCAGCTTTCCAGGCCCTTGAGGCGATTCTACCAGGAGATCATCTGAGAATTGCCCATACCAGAAGCCACGCGGGTGAACCATACAATGAGCTGGTCGACCACTTTGCAAAGCTTGAAGCCAAGCACAGCCTATACCTCCAGCGCCAACAGGTAAACATGTCTAAGTTTGGTGGCATCTTGGGTGTTTTGTGGATGATCCTCTCACAGGACAAGGACGTTCCCCAACTATGTCAAGGAGGACTTGCCCTCACTCCACCACAAATGCCGCCTCAAGGTCAATCTGACTCAGTGAACGAGATCACCTCTTGCACAAGTGAGGTCTCGATCACACTCAGTTTCGCAACCGCAAACGTCCGTACCTTTTACAGGGGACAAGAAGGCGTACCAGGCAAGCTCCACTACATCAGGAATCAATTCAAGAACCTGCACTTGCACTTCCTGGGCCTGCAAGAGACAAGAACCAAGAAAGGCTCTTCGGCCACAGAGGCAGTGCTCCGTCTCGCCAGCGGTGATTGCCAAGGACAACAAGGTGTTGAACTCTGGCTCAATTTGGAGCAACCTTACGGATGGTGCAGAGGTAAGCCGCTCTGCTTTGCAAGATCCCATATTGTCGTGACACACACCAACTCTCGCTACATCATTGCGCATGTCCTCAACGATCACTTGGACTTTTGGATCGCGGTCGCATATGCGCCACAGAGTGGCATTGCGCATCAGATCAGAGAAGAGTGGTGGCACGACTTTGGTAGGATCTTACATGAAGCCACCAGAGGACAGGACGTCGTTGTCATGCTTGACGCCAATGCCGCTACGGGCAACACAGATGAGCAACACATCTTTCAGTACGATGATAAGACCACCAGTGGCACACTGTTCCTGCGAGAGCTGCTTGCAACACACAACCTATGCCTCCCAGCTACGAGTGCCTGCCATCAGGGAGATCAAGACACGTGGATTTGCCCTGCAACAGACAAGGGCCATCGCATTGACTATGTGGCAATCCCGACCGCATGGAGATGGTCATGCACGCTGTCCAGAACGATTCCTGAACTTGATCTGGGCAACATCGGAGATCACACTGCGGTGGGCTTGGAAGTCCAATGGAAACAATTCACAACTTCTTCAATCAGACACAATGTACGGCCAGTGAAGTATGACCGAGAAGCCATCCTCCAGTGTCCACTACAAGACCTACTCTTGGAGTATACACCTTTGGATTGGTCCGCTGACATTGCTCGCCAAGTTGACCATTGCAATGGACACTTGCAACGAGTGATGCAGAAGCATTGCCCAAGACGCCGATCTGGTCCGAAAAAGTCCTTCATCACTGATGAGATATGGCAAATGCGACTTCAAAAAATTCAGACAGGACGTCAAGTACGCCAACTTCGACGTCTACAACATCGAGAGCTACAAGCTCGAGTCTTCCACACATGGAAGCGATCAGCCACAGTGTCACCAGGCGAAGACTTCAATATCTCTCTCTGGTGCACTCGCCTCAAGTTGGACATCAAGTACCAGCTCACCACGGACACCCTTCGCAGACGCTTGAAACAAGCCAGAGGACAAGCTTTGCAAGACGCCATAGCGGCGCTTCCTACGGATGCACATTCCAGCACCATCCTCCAGACGCTCAAACCCATTATAGGTCCGACTAATTTGAAGCACAAACGAGAAAGCCCGCTGCCGATCGTGCATGATGAGGAAGGCCGACCCTGCAGCAATCCTCAGGAGCTTCTGGACAGATGGGTTAACTTTTTTGGAGCAATGGAAGGAGGCATCCGAATGGATAAAGAGCAGCTTTATCAGCAATGGCGC